CCATTTATATCTTGAGATTCCATGAATTAAGATGGCATAACTATCTCTTCAGAAGAGATGTTTAATGTAAGGTTACCTATGAATTGAAACATGGTCTCAGACTGGAGGCCAAGGAAGACACAGAGACTCTTGCTCTCCCTTAGCAAGATTTTGGTAATTCAGCTAAAACACAGGAATTCTATAGGTATCACAGAAACAGAAAGTGGAAGGTATATACTTAGACATGATCAAAAGTGAAAAATAACTATGCAGCTAGGAACTTCAAACAGACTCAGACTCTCCCATGAGTGGCTGTGTACATCCAACAAGCCCCCAAAGTCAAAGATACATGTCAGCTTATAATTCCCTGATAATTCAGATTTTTCTGACTATGCTAGACACAGTAAATAACAAACCTGGGAGGTTATAAATTAACAATATTTTTTTTAAACTAAGATGTCTGAAAATTATCAATGGGCTTAAGGAAGGAGCTTGCCAAGGAATATTTGTGTGTGTGTGTGCGCGCGCGCGCGCGCATGTGTGTATATCTTCTACACAATGGTTTCCTGAAACTACAAAGGACAACAAAAAAAAGAGAGCTCAGGAAATGGTGAAATTATGGAAGTAGTAACACTGGAGACTTTTTTGTAGAGAAAAGGTTTAAACCAGCTGGATAATACCAATTTTTACAAGAGAGGACTTGAATTACATACATACATACACACACACACATACCTTCCTGGAGGAACTAGCAAAACCAGAAGACAGAAAGAAAACTGAACACATCAAGTGTATCCACCCATAAACACTGATCTCTAAAGGACAATCTCACATAATTCTGTAAATGTCAAAGACTACACACTAAAGAAATGGAGAAATGTTCCAAGTCAATAATTGCCACAACTTGAAAATTAACAAATGACCGTAGCGACCTTTGAAAATCAAAAGGTCCTAAACATTAAATTCCAGTGACGACATAAAAACTAACTCCAAAACAAAAAGGGCTGAAGTGAAACTCCTCTTAAACTTCAGAAGTGAAATGTCTATGAACTCAGATGTTAGAAAGAACATTGCATGAACCAGGAGGGTTTTTTGGTGAAGCGCTGAATTCATAACTGTATAAACAATGGACAATACCTCATTTCTCAAGTATAATTAAACAACTTATATAAAGGAAGATCGAATATGTTCCTTTGAAGTACTGACTTTGTGGTTTACAAAAAGCAAAACTCACTATTTCAACTACTCTGAGACCACAACATAACAAAGGAAACTGTGCCTGGCATGCGAGAAACAGCTGCAAGCCCCTGATAATCCTCCAACAGACAAACTGTATATACCTGCTCAGAGACTTCTTTCAAACAATCTACTTGGGTTTTTTGTTTGTGGCTTTTGTTTTTTTAAGATTTTTTATTTATTTATTTGAGAGAGAGGGAGCAAGCAAGCGCACAAGAGCAGGGGGAAGGAGAAGCTGACTCCCTGGGGCTGGATCCCAGGATCCTGGGATCATGACCTGAGCCAAAGGCAGATGCTTAACAGACTGAGCCACCCAGGTGCCCCAGTTTTTTGTTTGCTTTTGATCCAGGCTTAATAGATCTTTATCTCTCTGCTGCCTGATAACCCAGAGGTGGTCAATAAATATTTCCTATATGGATTAATGAATGTAACGATGGGAATCCTAAACTTTTATCAGCAATCCTTGTGAGTTTCCAGAACAGAATGCCACCCTAAAAAGGATTACCAGATTATCAACAAATAAGATTCCTTCAAAAATCTTTTGATAAGTGACTCTCAGTGATACTTTATACCCTAAGTCTTCATGGCAGAAGCACAAAACAGCCCGACTGATGATTCAGCTCTCAGTTCGGACTTCCCCAGGTCCTAGGTAGTTTCACTGCTTGCTCATAAAAGAACAGGCCTGGCCAACACAGCCTCCGTGGACCAAACACCGGCAGATGCTCCTCTCCTAAGTCAGATGGCCACGTGGACAGCCAACCATCCCAGAAATGCCCTCTACATCCTCCACCACACTATTATTATCTAATGCCAGCTCACTTGAAAAAATCATAATCTCCTACGTAAGCCATCAACTTGAATCTCTCATCACTCAGTCACACACAAATGTCAAGCTCATGAATGCAAAGAGCATTTCCTGCATTGGGATTACTATCCCTTGCTGAAAACACATGCCAACTGAATCTCTGAAAAGACACCTGTATCTCTCAAACACAAACAAGGGTATTTACGAAGTAGTTACGCACAGATTTGGCTAATTCTCAAGCCTCTTTCTCCTATCTTAGAACTCTTGTAAGGTTCATGTTATTTATGTATACCTATCCCTCTTTCCATTCAGAATTTGATATGGTTACAACAAATGTGTAAGATAAATTGATAACTTTTTTAATGATAGTAAAATTCATATGTTGCCCCTCCCCAAATTCCTATGTCGAAATACTAAGCCCCAGGACCTCAGAATGTGACTTTATTTGGAGACAGGGCCTTTAAATAGGTAATTAAGGTAAAATAAGGTCATAGAGGTGGGCCCTAACTCAACTGGTGTCCTTATAGGAGATAAGGACACAGAGAGGTACAGAGGGAAAACCATGTGAAGACATAGGAAGGAGAGAGCCACCTACACAAGCCAAGGAGAGAGGCCTCAAAGAAACAACCCTGCTGACATCCTGATCTTAGACTTCTAGCCTCCAGAAAACTGGGAGAAAATACATTTCTGTTGTTTAAATCACCCAGTCTGTGAAACTGATATGGCAATCCTAATAAATGCAAGTAATAAAGTTAATCTAATGCAGATTAAGTACTTCACTAGTTATGATGAGCAGGAAAGTACCAGTCATTCAAGAATTCAGCCCTGCAATGCTCTTCTCTTGCACATTTAATAAATTTCTTAAAATCCAAAAGGTGCAGGAATAAGCTGGACCAAAAAGCAAAAAGGTTTACGCTTTTGCCCAAGATTATGTAACACAAGGCAAGGTAGAAACAAAACTCAGATTCCTAATCCTCTTTTCAATTAAACCAAGGCCTCGGAGAAACAACGAATATATTTCAGAAAGAAATATAACCAGTGTACGTTTATAACTGGATCTCTATGGTGCTGTAGCAAATACTTGCTAACATACACAGGCCCTGTGAAACAGGGGTACTTCCAGAGCGGCATCAGAGGAAGCAGTTAAGAGCATGGACTTTGGACCAGACCACCTGGTTTAAAAGCCTAGCTCTGCCACTTACTAACAGTGGAACCTCCCGCAATCACTTAAAACTCTTTGTGCCTCAGTTTTATCACCTGCAAAATAGAGATATAAAAGTAACCACCTCATAGGATTGTTGTGAGGATTGAAAGAGTCATAATAAGCTGAACCACACGAAATTACCATTTTTATAGACCAATTACATGTGGTTCACCAGGAGACAGGGAAAGCACTGAGAACGGTCCCTGGCACCCAGTAAGTGCCGTACGTGTAAGAATCATTATCATTTCCGTCTCAGCACACTACAGTAGGGTGAATTATGAGTCCATCCCAACCAGCTATTTGCCTTCTGCAATGTTTGTGTACTTCAAACAAACCCCAAGTGTGCAGCCCAGGCTGCCAATCCCTTCCCTTCACCTCTCCTTTGCCCCACACTCCCACACACTGAACACTTCCTACTTTAGTGCTCATTCTGCTGCAGGAAGTCAGAGGTCTCTGTGAAATAGAAGCTAACTACACTGCACCTCAGAGAAGCATGATTCCCTTGATCTCTGCTCTCTATTTTTCTCCAGATGTGGCAGAGTGACACAAGACCCTGGTGTCCACAGAGCAAATCAATGATATAACTAAAACCAACGCAGGAGTTCAGACTTTCTAGGATCAGCCACCTCCCCGATCTGGACTTAAAACAATTCCAGGTAGCAGCAGGATCTGGAGCTGATGCAAAACAATAGAGCCCTGAAACGGGCCCAGTCTGGTCAGGTCGTGACCCAGACCCTACAGCAAAGAAGGAAACACATAGGACTGTGTCTCAACTCTTCTGGGCCTCCATTTGCCCTTCTTCAAAATATCTTATTTCCTTATCCACCCCCCAATGTCAGGTTTGAAAAGCTGAAGAGGATGTAAGGAAAACTAGGAAGGCAGGGGGGCATCAGGAATGAAAGATGTCATCCTCATTCTAGAGTGGGGACACTACCTGGAAAATCTTCCTAAATGCTTATCCTGCACGAAGCCCTCCCTTGCGGGACCTTCAACCTTTCTCGGCACGCCTCCAGCCTTAGGCGCAGAGCTTTTCCCCTCAACAGATCCTTCCCACTGCACCCCTCAAGTGGGACCCCCCTCCCTTAGAAAGTCCACCCAGCCTTCCTCTGCTTGTTCCTGACCCATATCTTAGACGCCTCTAGGTTCTCATCCTGCTTCAGCATGCCAATGAATCGTTCCTAGCATGGCATCCCCCCAGGCGCCCCCGCCCTCAGCAGGTGCTCTCCCTAACTTGTCCCCACGTCCCTCAGCAGCTGCTCCCTTCAGCAGTGCCCCCTTCCACCAGGATGTCCCCCCGCAGCAAGTGCTCTCCCCAACCAGCCCCACGTTTATCCCCCTGGGCGCATGCTCCCCTCTGCCGGACCCCCTCCCGGCGGAGATTCCCCCACTCAGCAGGTGCCAGGATCGCCTCGCCCCGCAGGTCCATCCCTCCGGGGGCGCACCCGGTGCCTCTCCTCCGCCAGTTCCCGCCTTTCCCTCTCCCCACCCCCTGCCCCTCAGCCAGCGGCCCCTCACCGGCGCGGCGGGTTCCTCAGCTGCACCGTCTCCATGGCGCTGCCGGCAGCCGCCCAGACCCGCTCACTGCTCCATCCTCCCCCGGGACCTCCCCGAGCCCGCCCCGCAGACCCTCCCACACTTCCGCTTTCCGCCCCCACCGGAAGCGGCGCGCAGCGCGCGAGCGGGGCGGGGCGGCGAGGACCGGGGCCGGACCACGTGGTGCGGAGCCTGAGTCACGTGGCGCGCGGGGCGCGGCCGCGGAGCCCGGAGCGTCCTCGTCCGGCTCCAGTCCGTCGGCGACGCCGTCTCCGTGTGGCGCGGTTCGCCCGGGACACTGGGACTCGGGCCGGGAACCCGTCTCCGCTTCGGCCTGGCCCTCATTCCTCGGACTGAGATACTGAGGGTTCTTGCGAAGCGCCGTCGGTTCTTAACCGGCCAAGTTCTACGCGATTTCTGGAAAGCGCTGCTCCACGGACTCCTGGAGGTATTTGTGGGTTCCTACCGCTCCTAGCCGGTTGGATTCTTGTTCCAGACGGAGGCCGGACCGCCCTTGGATGTCACAGAGCATCAGGCTGCAAATTGCTCACCCTCTTTTCTTTTTTTTTAATTTTTTTTATTTTTTTTAAAGATTTTATTTATTTATTTGACAGAGAAAGACACAGCGAGGAGGGAACACAAGCAGGGGGAGTGGGAGAGGGAGAAGCAGACTCCCCGCCGAGCAGGGAGCCCGATGCGGGACTCGATCCCGGGACTCCAGGATCATGACCTGAGCCAAAGGCAGTCGCTTAACCAACTGAGCCACCCAGGCGCCCCGCTCACCCTCTTTTCTTAAGGGCCTCTCACCTTTGAGTTAGTTTGCGGACATAAGGATAGCTAGCTAATCGTGATTAAGCTCTTGCCAGGTGCTTACTTACTTATATTATCTCATTTAATCCTCTTAGGAAATCTGTAACGTTATCCCCAATTTTATGTATTATTTGTCCTGCTTTTCCCAAAGGTATGCCATCCATGAAATTAACACCTGAGCAGCCACCTTTCAGGGCCACCCAGATATGGCACCCCATGTGCTAAAATAGGGGTAACCGATCCGTTCCCCTTATACAGGAGAAACACATTTACAGAGAATATGTGCCAGGCACAATCCTAGGCTGTCTCTTTTTTTTTTTTTTTTTAAAGATTTTATTTATTTATCTGAGAGAATGGGAGACAGAGAGCATGAGAGGGGAAGGGTCAGAGGGAGAAGCAGACCCCCCGCCGAGCAGGGAGCCCGATGCGGGACTCGATCCTGGGACTCCAGAATCATGACCTGAGCTGAAGGCAGTCGCTTAACCAACTGAGCCACCCAGGCGCCCCAATCCTAGGCTGTCTCTTAATCCTCAAACAATCCTATGAAGTAGAAGTTATTATCCCCATTTTACAGGTGAGGAAGCTGAGACTCACATAGACACAGCTAGTGATAGAAAAGTTTTTAACTCAAGATGGGCTGGACTCCACAGAATGCATGTTTTGTTTTGTTTTGTTTTTAAAGATTTTATTTATCTATTTGACAGAGTGAGAGACAGCGAGAGAGGGAACACAAGCAGTGGGGGAATGGGAGAGGGAGAAGCAGACTTCCTGCCGGGCAGGGAGCCCGATACAGGGCTTGATCCCAGGACCTTGGGATCATGACCTGAGACGAAGGCAGATGCTTAACGACTGAGCCACCCAGGCGCCCCAGAATGCATGTTTTATTTGCCTCTTTGCCCTACTACAAATCTGTACAAATGGCAGTAGGAGCCCTGAGGTAGTAAAGATCAAAAGTTTGGCACAAAGTTCAGGAAGCCATCACAGGTCCCTATTACAAAAAGTCAGTCCTCTATCCTCTGAAATCCCCTGGTACTTTTCCTGTACTTCTCCTAAAGCACACTCTTCGTTTGACCTTATGTTCAGGCCCCGCTGCCCACACACACATCCCTATAAATGAGGTACTCGGAAAATATTTTTAAAAATAAATGTCAATTTACCAGTACACAATGTCAAACATCCCTCCTTTATCCCCTTCCTGGGATTTTTCCAAAAGATGGACTGACATTAGGATTGCCCCGTCTTTCAATAGAATGTCCAGTCCAGCACTGCCCCATAGAAATTTCTGTAATGGTGGAAATGTTCTATGTATGTGCTGTCCAAAACCATTGCCAGTAGACAGACACATGTGGCTGCTGAGCACTCTAAATGTGACTAGTATGACTGACAAACTGAATTTTAAATTGTATTTAATATAACTAATTTAAGGGGCACCTGGGTGGCTCAGTTGGTTAAGCTACTGCCTTCGGCTCACGTCATGATCCCAGGGTTCTGAGATGGAGTCCCAGGTCTGGCTCCCTGCTCAGCGGGGAGCCTGCTTCTCCCCCTCCCTCTCCCCCCAACTCATTCTTGTTCTCTCTCTGTCTCTCAATAAATAAAAATCTTTAAAAATAAATAAGTAAATAACAAACCTTAGTAAACCATAATATGATAATAGCTTAAGAGAAAGAACCAGTGGGGCACCTGGGTGGCTCAGTCGGTTGAGCATCCAACTTGTGATTTTGGTTCAGGTCATGATCTCAGAGTTGTGAGATTCTGTGTCTGGCTCCGTGCCCAGTGGGGAGTCTGCTTGAGATTCTTTCTTCCTTTCTCTCTGCCCCTCTCCCCACGTGTGCACATGCTTTTTCTTTCTCTCACTCTAAAATAAATAAAATCTTTAAAAAAGAGAGAACCAGGGGCACTTGAGTGGCTCAGTCATTAAGCGTCTGCCTCTGGCTCAGGTCATGATCCCAGGGTCCTGGGATAGAGCCCTGCGTCGGGCTTCCTGCTCCCCGGGAAGCCTGCTTCTCCCTCTCCCACTCCCTCTGCTTGTGTTCCCTCTTTCGCTGTGTCTCTCTCTGTCAAATAAATAAATAAAATCTTTAAAAATAAAATAAAAAAGAACCAATGAGCAGGGTTACTCATATTTCATTCTGTGCTTACTGAGCTACATATGCCTGGCACTGTACTAGGCTCTGGCTATGTACCAGTACTCAGGACATAGATGAGTTCTAGCTTTTTTTTGCAATTTACAGTGTAGAAGACATAGTTGCTAGAGAGGTAATGTAGTGCTAAATTATATAAAACCATAATGTGAGAACCTAACCAAGGCTAGTAGGATCATGAAAACTCTGAGAAGGTCAGAACACTCATTCATTCATTCATTCAACAAATACATATCTAGTATCTGCTCTGGGCCAAGCACAGTACTAGGTGCAAAGCAGTGAGCAAAATAAAGTTTCTGCCCTCGTGGATCTTACATTCAAGTGGGAAAGGCAATAAGCAAAGCAACAAAAACCATATAGACAAAAAAAAAAACCCAACATGTGACCGAAATGAGAGACTAAGTCACACTAATACTTTTAAAGAGTATTTAAGGCAGACGGAACAACAAGGGCAAAGGCTTGTGTTGGAAGAGCAGCTAGAATTTGGCATGTTTGGAGCAGAATGAGTAAGGAAAAGTAGGAGATGAGGTAGGAACTGTGGCCAGAGTCAGATTGAATAAGGGCAATGTAAAGATGCAAAAAATTGCAAAGAGTTGGTTCAGTGTACCAGTTAACTATCGCTACGTAAAAAACCACCCCAAAGCCCAATGGTTTCAAAGTAATCATTTTCCAGTTTTTGGTTATTACAAATAAAACTTAGTCATTTATGTACACATGTTTATATGGACATACATATAGGCATACCTACATTTCATTTCTCTTGTAAACACACAGGTGAGAAATAGCTGGGTCATACAGAAGATACTTGGTTAATGTATTAAGAAACTTTTTCAGGGTGATTATACTATTTCACATTTCCACCAACAGTGTATGGGAATTTCAATAGCTCTATGTCATCTACACTTGGTATGATCGGTCTTTGCAATTTTAACCGATCTAATAGCGTGTAGTGGTATCTCACTGTGTTGTCTTTTTTTTTTAAGATTTTATTTATTTATTTATTGGGGGGGCACAAGCAAGGAGGGAGGGGCAGAGGGAGAGGGAGAAGCAGACTCCCTGCTGAGCACGGAGCCCGATGTGAGGCTTGATCCCAGGACCCTGAGATCAGGACCTGAGCTGAAGGCAGACAACCTACTGAGCCACCAGGCCCCCCTCTCACTGTGTTTCTCATTTGGATTTTTTCTACTGGCTAATGAGGTTGAGGTTGAGCATCTTTTCAAGTGCTTGCCATCTGTATATTTTCTGAACTATCTGTTCAAGTCTTTTGTCCTTCCTAAAATTGCACTGTTTCCTTATTATTGAGTTTTTAGTGTTTTTTAATATTCTGGATGCATGTCCTTTATCAGATATGTGATTTACAAACATTTTCTGGGGCTTCTATTTTCATTCTCTTAACAGTCTCATTTAAAGAACAGAAACTTTAATTTTTAAGTATAGTTTATCCACTTTTTTTCTTTTATGAGTCATACTTTTGATGTCATACCTGAGAAGTTTTAGGGGAAGAGACCAACCCTGCAAGCTCACGTCCCAGGTTCCCATGTCAGCTGACTTCTGGCCAGTTTCAGCCAGCACTGGCAGGAGACGGAGGGCAGAACTAAGAGAGAAGCCAGTCTTTCTCTCTCTTCTTTGCTTCTGATCAAGTATCCAACAGTAACTTTGTCTTCAGCTCCTCCTAGAGCATCCTTACTTGGCTCCAGCTTCTACTCTACTGCAGCTTCTGAACTCTGTAAATATCACTGATGAAGGAGCAGAGGCAAACTGAGGGCAAAGCACAAGCTAACACTCCACAACTCTCCCACCCCCCCCTTGTGGGATATGTGTGACATTCCTCAGGCACTTCTGGCTGCCCTAGAACAAAGGAGAGGGAAAAAAAAAAAAGGTTAACCAGGGCGCCTGGGTGGCTCAGTCGTTAAGCGTCTCCCTTCGGCTCAAGTCATGATCCCAGGGTCCTGGGATCGAGCCCCGCATCGGGCTCCCTGCTCAGCGGGAAGCCTGCTTCTCCCTCTCCCATTCCCTCTGCTTGTGTTCCCTCTCTCGCTGTGTCTCTGTCAAATAAATAAATAAAACCTTAAAAAAAAAAAAAAAGGTTAACTGATGGCGATCACAGTCCTGCCGGATGCAGGACACAAGTCTCCTTCAGTTTGCAACTGTCTTAATGATTTATAAGAAAAAAGCAATTTCCAGAAACCTATAGACTCAATTTCCTGGAGCCCTAACATCACCCTCCTCTCCGTAGGATAGAAAATCTTTTTTTTTTTTTTTTTAAGATTTTATTTATTTGACAGAGAGAGACACAGCCAAAGAGGGAACACAAGCAGAGGGAATAGGAGAGGGAGAAGCAGGCTTACCGAGGAGCAGGGAGCCTGACGTGGGGCTCGATCCCAGGACCCAGGGATCATGACCTGAGCCGAAGGCAGATGCTTAACGACTGAGCCACTCAGGTGCCCCAGGATAGAAAATCTTTAATCAGTCACTCCTCATAACCCCAGTGCAGCTCTTTCTACCCCTGGGTCCTGCCTCCATGCTTTAATAAAACCCACCTTTTTGCCCCAAAGATGTCTCAAGAATTCTTTCTTGGCCATTGGCTCCAAACCCCAACACTCCAAGCCATATCATCCCCATTTCCTTTTTATATTCAAGTCCTGGGCATAGTAGTCATTTCCTGCTGCTGCTGGCCTTTGGGCTCCCTCATCGTTCTCTGTTGGCTTCTTGAATCCTCTGTCACCTCTGACACCCAATTCCCTGAACTAACTTCTTACTTCAAATCCCTTTCATAAGCCATCTTACTCAGTGTTTTCAGATTAGATCATGATTGATACACCTGAATTGAAAAGCATCCAGAACTGTTAATTGACAAATTATGATGCTGTCTCTACTTCTTTCCCCAAGACTAATTGGTTCATTATTTGGAATCAGCATATAAAAGTATTGGCTGTGCCTGGCTCAGTTAAATGAAATGTAAGATTGTCCTGATTCTTTTTTTTTTTTTTTTTTTTAGATTTTATTTATTTATTTGCTAGAGAGAGCATAGGCGAGAGAGAGTGAGCGAGAGTACAAGCAGGGGGAGCTGCAGGCAGAGGGAGAAGCAGGCTCCCTGCTGAGCAAGGAGCCCGACGTGGGCCTCAATCCCAGGACCTGAGCTGAAGGCAGCCGCTTAACCGACTGAGCCACCCAGGCGTCCCAGACTGTCCTGATTCTAACACATCTTTACTCACCAGTGTCTCTCAACCAATGAAGGCAGAGATATTATTTAAAGAAACTACCAATTAACCCTGAAAAGAAGTGTTTAAACAACAAAAAGATTACTGTCCAATAATAATGTCTGTGCATATTATCTCATTCAGGAGACTACAGCTATAATATCTATTCCTTCCCCATTAAAGCTGAATACAAATTAAATATGGCTTTGATGAGATGGTTAACTCAGAGAGATGAAATCTTAATAAATATCAAAAAGTTATTTCCTGCCCCAAAAATAGAACCCAAATTTCTATCAGCTGATAAATGTATAAATAAAATGGACACCCAAAATGTATACAATGGAAAATTATTCAGCAATAAAAAGGAATGAAGTTCTGATACATGCTACACCATGGATGACCCTGGAAAACAGTGTGCTATGTGAAAAAAGCCAATCACAAAGAATCGTGTGTCATATGATTCCATGTACATGAAAAGTCCAAAATAGGCAAATCTATCAGAAGGTAGATTAGTGGTTGCTTTGGGCTTGGGCTCGGGGATGGGGGAGATGGGGTAGGTGAATTGGGCCTGATGACTAAAAGATGTGGGGTTTCATTTTGGGGTAATGACAATATTCTAACATTGATTGTGGTGATGATTGTGCAACACTGACTATAATAAAAACCACTGAACTGTACACAACTTTAAATGGGTGAATTTTATGCTAGTGAATTATTTCTCAATAAAGTTATTTTTAAAAAGTCACCTCCTCCTAGAAGACTTCCTCTCTGCCCGGACTCCCCAATAGCTCCCTCCCCTAAATTCTTTCAGTTCTGCTTTTATCAGCTCTGCATTTCTGGGAAGCATTGTGGGAAGGGATTACCATTTATTAGTTGCTGTGTAAGAAACCATTCCCAAAACTTAGTGGCATAAAACATTTTTTTTTCTCTCACTCATAAATCTACAGTTTGAGCATGGTTCCACAGGGAAGGCTCATCTCTTTTCCGTGGTGTCAGTCAGGGTCAGTCACCATTTGGATGAATTCTTACCCAAAATGCCTCACTCACATGGCTGACAAGTTGGTGCTGGCTGTTGGCTGGGAGCTCACTTGGTGCTGGGGGTAGAGAGGACCTCTCTGTTTTGGTTAAAATAAATACGGATAAAGGCTAGGTTCTGAAGGATATTTGTGAGGGGGAGCCAGGAGGAAGCTGCAGTGCCTTTTAATGGCATAGTCTTGGGAGGTAGATAATGTCCTTTCCACTGTTGAGGGGACCCCAAAGTCCTGTGCAGTTTCAAAGAGAGCTGAATAGACTCCACTCTGCATGGGGGAGTGGCCAAGTTCTGGAAGAGGGTAGAGGACTGGAAATTATTGTTTTGGTCATTTTTGGAAAATACAGCTTGACACAGGTGTACTTGTCTGGTGTACCATTTAGAATATATCCACCTCCAAGCAACAGAAAAAAAAAAACAACTAAATGGTGGCTTAAGGCCCCATGACATTTGTTGTTTATTAATAAGTAGCCCAGAAGTCAGTCCTCCCAGGGTTGATTCAGGGGCTCGCCAATGTCAGTTTCATCTTTCCCCTCCCGCCCTCCTAGCACATTGGTTTTTCATACCTGTGCTTATTACCTCACATTGCAAAATGACTACCACATGTCCAGGTGAATATCCTTAACCCAACAGTACCAAATCATAAAGAGAGCAAAAGAAAAAGTTATTTTGCAGTCCTGTACCTCTTATCTGGGAGGAAGAACTTTCCCATAAGGACCCAGCAGACATCCTGTAACTCATTGGGCAAATCACAGGCATGTCCACCCCTGACAGATCACTGGCAAAATAGAGTGAGATTATTGTGATTGGTTTAAAGAAATCCTGATTCATTCCCTGGACCAGGAGAATTCAGACTTCTGGAAGCAAAGATGGAAGCTGTTGAGTAGATAACCAGCAGTGTATGTGCCTGGTCAGGTTTCCCCACCACACTAAGTGTTCATTCTTTCCTTGTGTAGGGCCTGTGCTGGACTGAGGGGATTCAGATGGAACAGCAACTCAGAAAGCTTATAGTCTGGTTGGGTTGGGTTTACACAAATAATTATAACTAAATTCCTGAGGGCAGGGACCAGGTGTCTGTCAACAGACCTTAGAACGGCATGTTTGGTGCCAGATCCGGTTAGGTCTTGTGGAGACAAAAATAAAGACCTATTTCCTGCCTTTAAAGACCTCACAGTCTTTGAGAAAAACTATAAACTGACAATCACAGAGTGATAAGTGCTAAATGAGGGATAAACCTTGGGAGCAATAGGAACGGAGGAGGGACAAGGTGAAAGACGTGAGGAGTCAAGAAAGGCTTTCAGAAAGGATGGTTGAGTTGATTATAGGTGGAGTCAGGATCAGGCAAGAGGAAGTGTTTGGAAAAGAACTGCAGGAGAGGGGCACATAAGCCAAGGTCAGGAAGCAAGAGAAACAGCTTCATGTGCGTAGGGGACAACAAGCAATTAAAAACACTGGCACATCAAGTGGGACATAGAGTTAAGTCAAAGGACGCTGAAGATAAGCTTAAGTTTCCCTCAGCGAAAGATCCTCATGAACCTATCAGTGCATTCATTTATTAAATCGACATCTACAGAGCACTAGGTACCAGTTAGTTTCCAGCCTCAGTGCCTTTGCACTTGCTATCTCTCGGTCTGGAATAGCACTCCCTAAATTTTCTCAGGCTTCTTCAGCTCCATTAGTCACCCAGAGACGCCTACCCCACCCCACCCCCCCTTACCTAAAATAGTCCCCATGTGGTCATTTTCCATTACATCACTGTTTTGTTTTTCTTCTAGCATTAATCACATGAGATTATCGTCTTCGTTTGCTCCAGAGTTAACAGCCTGTCGATTCCCACCAGAATGTAAGCCCCTCGCGAGCGGGGACCCGGCCTCTTTCATTGTTTCACCCAGAGTTTTAGCATCCCCAGGTTCTCAACCTACCTCCAGGGACCCTAACGCGCCTCGCTAGGTAAGTCCCGACCCGAGCCTGCGCAGAAGGCCCCTGGCGCGCGCAGCTCTGGCCCCGCCCCGTGCGTCCCGCCCCCTCCCGGGGTGGTTGGCCGTCGGACTCACGTCCTCGCCAGGCGGTGTTCCCGCTCGGACGCTGTTGCGCACGCCTCCGCGCGGTAACGGACGCGCCCCCCGGTGCGCCGGCCCGGCCCGGGATGGGCCCCAAGCTCGCAGACTCCGTGGACGGGCTCCGCGCCGCCGGCAACCAGAGCTTCCGCAACGGCCAGTTCGCCGAGGCCACGGTGCTCTACAGCCGCGCGCTGCGGATGCTGCAGGCGCAAGGTACGACCCTGGCCGCCGTTTCCCCGCCAGGCCGGCCACTCCCTCCGGGGTCCCCCGCCGCGGCCGCCCAGACCTCGCTCCTGCCCGGGGTGCTTGCGACTTGATTTCCCCGCGGCCAGCTGGCTCACCAGGCCCACCGGGCACCCTTCCCGCCCATTCCCCCCTTCGGCATCCTACGAGAAACTTCCTTGGCCCTCTCTGCCCCCCCCCCCCTTTTTTTAAATTGTAATACGGTTTTATTACTGGTTCTTTTTCACTTACGGGCATATCAGAAACATATTTCCATATTAATGGATGTTTTATCACATTTTTTTATCTCGGTAAAAAAAACCCAAAAAACCCCACAGCATTAAATTCACCGTCTTAACCATTTTTTAAGTGAAGTATTAAGTACATTCACGTTGTTGTGCAACAGATCACTAGAACTTTTTCATCTGCAGCAGTGAAACTCTGTACCCACTAAACACTGATCTTCCTTCCCTCCCCTCAGCCCTTGGTTTCCACCCTTCTACTTTGTGTAGCTATGATTTTGACTAGTTTAGATAGTTGAGATAAGTGAAGTCATACAGTATTTCGCTTTTGTGACTGATTTCGCTTAGCGTAATGGTCCTGAGGACATTATAGTCCATGTTGTAGCAATGTGACAGATGTTTTCCTTCTTTTTTAAGGCTGCATAATTTTCCATTGTATGGATATACCACGCTTTCTTTATCCAGATGTAAACAAGGCCTGTCTGATAAGGATCAGGGCTGCAAAGAAGACAAATACAGTGATGTGGTAAGAGAGGTGACTGGGGAGCTCCTTTGGAGTGGAAGGTCAAGGACAACTTTGAAGAAGAAGTGACCTTTGAAGTGACATCTGAATGATGAGAAGAAGCCAAGTGCACACAGTTTTGGGTGCTGAGCATTCCAGGTGGAGGGAACTGTTCATTCCACGGGCCCCCAGACAGAGTAAGCGTGGTGTTGCAGGAGCCAGACCATAGTGAGCCAGTGGGGAATTGTAAGTATTGAGGGCAGTTAGATAGGCAGAGCCCTATTGTGTAGGCATTTTACGCGGTAGGCTGTGGTAGGGAGTTTGGATTTTATTCCCTGATGGGAAGCTACTGGGGAGTTTTATTTTAAAAAGAGGAGCACCATGTCCTTTATCAGTTCTCCCAGCCTCCAGCTCCTGGGTAAGACACTTTGGAGAAGAGGTAAGCCTCATTCTAATCAGCCCGTTGCCCCAAACCTCTCCTCCAAAGTGTCTTACCCGTGCGCCCTCATTTTCTGTAGTACCTATTTCCCTTTGCCTTCTCTTCTTGGCTAGCATTTGTTGAGTGCTTTTCTGTGTGCTAGGCACTACAGACCTCATTCTTTTTTATCTTCTTACAAACCTACAGATAAGACTCTTTATGGACGAGGAGTCCAGAAGAGTTCAATTTGTCTACACTGGGTTATACAATGAAGACATATCAGAGGCAGGATTTGAATGCGCGTCTGACTGATTTGCAAGTCCAAGTTTTGAGTCATTTTGCTAGGCTTCTCCCCAAATCCTCTCCAAATTCCAGTCTGTCTTATTTGAACTTCTGCAATTTCAAGCCCCTCTTTTGCCCCCTCTTGTTTTTCTAGAACACTCCTCTTTAGGCCCGCCTCCTCATCTCAGCCTCACTTGATGAAGTCACTGACGAATCTGAGATATTGATATTACTGCCTTTTTCTTTCATCCTACCCCAGCTGGTCTGGAAAAGCATGTGCTTTTGTATGGATTTATTCTGGATCCTTAGAAGGGCTGGCCTGGGGTCTAGACTTAGTAGGGGAACAGCATTTGGTTCTGCTCTTGCTGTTAATTTTCCAGATGATTTCTGGGCAAATCCCTTGATTTCTCTGATCACTTTTGCTGACCTTGAAAGGACGGCAGGGAACAAGCTAACAAAATGAACCGTTCCAGCAAGTCTGTGAAGTGATATGTTTATGTGATAGGGGAGCACACGCGATCAGAGGGATTGAGTGACTCGTGCGGGCTCACGGGCAGGATCCTCAGTTCCTCTGCTGCCCTTCCCACCGCACCTCTGCTACTTGAGACTTGATATGGACTACGAGTTTTGAGTACTTGTGCTTGTTCCTCAAGGGCAAGGATATATTTTACTTTTTTCCTGTACTTTGATGTCTCACTCAGGGCCTGGCAAAATAAGGGGGAAAGTTCTTATTTTATTAGTTTGTTAATGTTGATATTGAATGAATGCCATCATGCCTCAATGGTATGGTAACATACTTAGTGAAAAAAGAGTAAGTTGCGGAAGGATAGGGAGTAGGGTGCCACTTAGTTTCGGAAAGCTTTGAAAGATATAAAATGGTATATTCTCTTCCCTGTGAATGCATATGTAATAGAAGTGGGCAGACATGCATACGGGAGGATGTTACCTACCAGCCTCAAGACTGTGCTGACATCAGGAGGTCTGGGCAGGAAGCAAAGGGAAAAGGGTGAGGATGAGTGGAACTTTAGCCATCTCGAAAATGAAAAAGGTTGGAAACAAATACAATGTATGCCAAGTCCAATGATGGATGTCAAGCATCTGTTTTACTGTTTTCTAAATGTTTTGTAATTTTCAGAAGAGAGTCTGTTTTACTTCTTTGGGGTATATACCCAGGAGTGGAATTACGGAGTCAACACTTAATAATTTTCGGGGTGTTTTGTTTGTTTGCTTTCCATTATGGCTTATGCTAGTGGGTATGAAGTGGTTGAAAAATTACTTTTTTAAAGATTTTAGTTATCTATTTGAGAGAGTGAGAGGAGAGCACGGGAGGGGCGAGTGTCAGAGGGAGAAGCCAACTCCGTGCTGAGTGGTGAGCCCGACGAGGGCTCGATCCTGGGACTCTGGGATCATGACCTGAGCCGATGGCAGACACTTAACCAACTGAGCCACCCAGGTGCCCCGAAAAATTATTTTTAAAATTGAAAGTCATTGTGGCTACACAGTAAAAGACATGGGCTTTTGCGATTCCTGAGGATAAGGTTTGCCTTTAGAGAAGTGTCTGATAATTCTCCTCCACACTGGGTCGCTTGAATCTTTCCTCTGATTAAGTTCTGCATAGCCCTGCCAGACCCAGAGGACTCTTCCCTGGCAAAATCCTTTCTGATTTGACCAGGTAGGATTAGTCTCTTTCTCAGAGTGAAGGAGACTTCAGTCTCCTTATCACATTTTTCTTTTCCTTTTTCAGGAACCCCTCTTAATTGGGTTTACATGCTTTTTGTAACAAAATTCACACACGTGCGCACGCATACACACACACATAGTTACAGCATGGATCTCCTTGAGCAGAAGCCAGCTGGTTCATGTTTTGTTTTTTGCCTGGTCCTAACTTCAGTGCTGGAGTGAGTGGAGAAGGTGTTTGGTTCCCCGTGAGTGGCGGGAAGCTTGCTGCTCTCGCTCCCATGTGAGAATGACAAACCTGGCAGCCCAACGAGCCTGAGCGGGAAGCCCAGAGAGCTCCGGGTATGAAATACACCCCAGAGTGCCGGGGCATCCATTTCCCACCCTGTTAATCTCGTACTTTCTGCTTCCCCCTGGCCAGGTTGTTCGAACCCCGAAGAAGAAAGTATCCTCTTCTCTAACCGTGCAGCCTGCCACTTGAAGGATGGCAACTGCAGGGACTGCATCAAAGACTGCACTTCGTAAGTGGGCGGGGGCGACCTCCGGGGCCTCAGGGTCTCCGGAGGGGAAGCTGTGTTCATCTGGCCTGTTCTCTTCTTGGGGTCAATCCCAGCAGTTAACAGCTGTGTCAGATAATGAGGACGTGTCCCTAAGTGTCACCAGCTCACTGAGGATAGGAGGCTCTACTTGGTGCTTACGGCCCCTGACTTGTGTCTTTGGAGTCTGCCAAAAGAGCAGGAGTCAGGTGGGGACTTAGAGGTGGGCCTTATGGGCCTTGTAAGATCGGGGACCTGAGGATGAGGGTGAGTTGCAGGCTAGTGACTGGCTCGCCCCGGTGTTTTCTGGGGTGGATGTGTGTGAGAGGGAAAGAAAGAGGGACCGAGGTTAGTGAATTGCCGCAAAACAAGCAAGGAGAAGAAGTTATCCATCGATGACCTGTTGTAACAGGTGTTCTACGGTTTGTCATACTTCTTTCTTCTGCAAGCCAGTCTGACACCGCCTTCTCTCCTCCTCACTGAGCTGACACACGTCTGCAGTGTCACCTTAGGTTTGTGCCCTGGTGGTAGCTGAGGGAGGAGGAGAGGGGAGCGGGCTCGTGGGGCCTGTGCTCAGTGGCTCCGTACCAGGCCCGTGCTAGGTTTCCTCCCCGGAGGGCTCATGACCGCCCTGCGGGGTAAGTTTACCATCCCGCCCAGGCTAGAAGTGGGTTGCAGCCAATTGAGGCCGTAAGGCGATCTGCCTGGGGTCCCGTGGCTGGTGGCAGAGGTAGAATTCAAACACCACTCCATCTGACTGCGAAGCCTATTTCTCCCACCGGGTCGGACTCTGTAGAAACACATGGAAGAATGAAAGCTACAGGCGCTTGTTCTTGATCTGGGGGGGTTGCGACTCGAAAATTGGTGCACGAGCACACAGATTTCACAGTCTTAGTGGTTTTCTGCTCATCGTACCTTCTCTACTTTGGTCGAAGATAGAAAGTCCCTCTGCTAAGGCCTGACATTTTTAGCAGCGTCTCTGTGCCAGATATGACCTGTACACTGAATGCTGTGGATGACGCTTCCTAGAAGGAGCTGCGGGGGGCGGGGTGGGGGGTGACTCAGCAGCTGGTGACATTTCTTCTTCTGGCTCTAGAGCACTGGCCCTGATGCCCTTCAGCATGAAGCCCCTGCTGCGGCGGGCATCGGCCTACGAGGCCCTGGAGAAGTACCCTCTGGCCTATGTGGACTACAGGACCGTGCTGCAGATTGATGACCGTGTGGCGTCGGCCCTGGACGGCATCAGCCGGTGAGCCTGACTCTGCAGACGGTCTCTCTGGACTCACTCGGGACCATGGCTTTGGTCATCTCTTGGGGGTCCCCCGAGGCCTACTGAGCACGTGGGGAAAGTGCAGGAGGACAGTCCGCTGTTGTGGTTAGCAGGGGCCTGAGGGGTCAGAGTGAGGGGACTGATGGATCGATGGCCCAGCTGCTCCCGATTCCTTACTGGGGTAATAAGGTATTGAGCTCTGTGTAAGGGATTGTTCCAGGTGTCCTGGGGAAGACCCCACTTGCTCCATAGACCTAACTAGAGCGGGGAGAGTGGGACACAGGTGCAGGCAGCCGGGACACGAGGCTATAGGCTGGTGTTTGCAGGGACGCGTCGGCCTGTGGTACTGTGACCCCTTCACGAGGCTCATCAGGCGCCATCAGGCTCACTGGCTGCCGTGTTGCAGGATGACGTGAAGGAGAGAGAGCAGAGTCGGAAGGGCTGGGCGGGAACTCAGATGGTGGAGATGCTGGAAAGAGGACAGTGGGACCAGTTCTGGGGACAGTTAGGTAGTAGTTTGATGAATCTGGGTGTTGGGGGTGGTGAGAAGGGAAAAATAGGAGAAACATCCTGGTGGCTGACATGTTGAGTTGGAGGGGACCATGAGACGAGAGACATGAGGACAGTGGTTGGTATTTACGTGGGTTTTGGAGCAAAAAGAGACAAATACAAGGCAGACCTATGGATTCGAAGGTCATCAGCATAGAGGTGGGTTGAGGTTGTGGGAGGAAAAAAAGACCCCCACAACAAGTGAGCCAGGGGAAGAGGATGGTGCTTAGAAAACTGCAACATTTGAGGGACTTCGGGGGAACAGCGGCCAGAGGGGAGGAGGAAATTCGGAGCCTTTAGGGAAGAAGTATTTCCAGAAGAATGAAAACCTCACTCCCATCAGGTGTTGCGATGAGTTAGTGGACTTCTGAGTTTAAGAAAGAGAGTTACTGGTGGTTGTGACGGAAGCATGCAGCGGGTCAGAAGCCCGGGTGGCAGGGGGTTCGAGAAGCCTGGCCGTGAAGAGGCAGAGGAGTCCAGCTGCGATGGCAGAGTGGGGTCTCCAGGGGGGTCTTACTAAGTGAGGAAACGGTTCAGTGCGGCCACCTGGAGTCGGTAGAGAGAAAGGCTGAAGCTAGAGGAGAGCTGCTGGTGGTGGTTCCTGACAGAGGCAGGACGAGGTGAGACCCAGAGCTGAGGCAGAGAGACTGGCCTCGTCACTTCTTCATCTGTGACAGGAGAGACCTAGGAAGGATTCAGTGCCCACGCAGGTGGGTTTGCATTTGTGGGACCTGGAAGTTTGCCCTGAAAAAGGAGGAGGGTAAGGGAGCCGGGCTGAGGAGGGTAGAGGTTTGAAATAGCTGTGCCAGTCAGAAAAACAGCTGTGAGGGCTTAGTCAGAGGCGGTGAGTTTGTAGTCATCGCCACCTGGGACGCTGTCCTTCTAGTCGCACAGAGCACCGTGGTTGGGGCAGAAAAAGCATACAGTTGGCTTTATTCACTGATCGAGCACATGCTTACTGGGCCCGGGCGGGTATCAGGTGATGTGCTAGGTGCTGGAGATTTCTTAGCCAAACGGACGTGGTCCCTGAGCAACATTTGAAGCAAGTTAGCTGGGCCCAGAAGGGGGGGGGTGGAGAGTGAAGAGATCATTCCAGGTAGAGGGAAAAGCATGGGCAAAGGCTGGAACATACGGATCAAGAGGGAATGCGGCTCCCGGTAAAAGTGGAGCGGTGGGGGGGGGGGGGGCACACCAGATCTCGGGCCCTGTCAGCCTAGGGAAGTGGGAACCGCTGGAGGAGTTCAAAATTTGAGAATGACACAGGATTTGTATTTTATAAAGATCTCTGAGCATTGATCAAAGGTCAGGTGCTTGCCTGGCCTTTTAATAGATCCACTGAGAAAATATAAGATATGTGATCCTTCCTTGGGGGCATGTGTGGTCCTTTGGGGGTAAGGTTTAAGTACCCTTAACAAGCAGCCATCCCCACTTCGGGCTTAACAGAGTGTGGCCAAGTGACGGCCAGGTGGGGCACGAGTGTCATGGTGGCAGACATCTGTTCCTTTCCTGCTGTGTGTCAGAAGGTTGTAGAGGGATGGTGGCTCTCTCTACCCCCTCTGGATTTATGAGAGGGGGAGTATCTTCTTGACCCAGCTGGAAACCTCCCTGTAATTCTGTCTGCCTTTCCAGAATGACCAGAGCTCTCGTGGACTCGCTGGGGCCCGAGTGGCGCCTGAAGCTGCCCGCTGTCCCCTTGGTGCCTGTCACAGCTCAGAAGAGGTGGGATTCCGTGCCTTTGGAGTACCACAAAGAGAAGGCTAAGAGAAAATTCAGAGAAACCACAACTTCCAAGGGCAGAGGTAAGCTGTGACTTCCTGCCCAGAGTGTTAACAGTCTCCCCGTGGCCACTTCCTTTAGAGTCATCCTGTAAAAATTGGCCTTGCTTAAGCTGAGCTCTAAAAATTATGGTGAAACAAAAAGTCTTCACCTCTTAGAGTCTTCTCAATTCTATCCTCGATAGAATTGAGATGCGAAAGTCCTCCCACCGCTGTCTGGATTCAGAGATAGAGAAGGCACGTTGGACGCTCAGTGTGGCTCAGAGGTATACAGCTTTAGTTCCCTTCTCTTTTCTCTGGCAGCAGTGGGGATGGATGAGCTAGGATGGTTTAGAAAACTCAACACTTTGGTAAAAATAACAAAGAGAACGTATTGGCTCATGTAACTGAAAGTTCCGCGTCAGGTTCAGGCAAGGTTTGCTCCAGCAGCTCACTACATTATCAGACTCGGACTCCATTCCTCAGTACTCCTCTCAGCTCTCTTCTCTGGTGTGTCTGCTTTGTCTTGGGGCAGTCTTCCCTCCCAGTGGTAAAACAGCTATAAAGTAGTTCCTGGCTTCGTCCCCTTAGGCCATGCCTCATGGCCCAGAGGAAGAGAAAGAGGTGATTTTCTTCTGAGAGCTCCCTAAGAAAGGGTTTCTTTCCTTTAAATCCCTTTAAATACACTGTCTCGGTGTATTCTAGCCTGTTTGGTCACAGGCCATTCTCTGGGAACTGGTCACTGGGACCAGGGGCTGAAATTTTGTGATGACCTCTGTCCTAAGCCATCTGCCCCCACCTTCATAGCGAGAGGGTGATGCTTCCCCAGGAACACACACACCACATGAGGCCCTGGAGGTGGAATAGGGAGGGGCGATCAAAGCCAGGTAGCCCCAAAACAGGAGACTGTTCACCTTGACCGTGTAAAATGGAGGGGCCGTTCTTCAGGCAGCGGTTCACCGGCACCCCAGGGAATTAGCTGGGCCCAGTGAGCTAGGTGTTGAGGGGCGGAGATGCAGCAGGTCTGAAGGCTGGAGCCTGCCGTGGGTGGTAGTGGAGGGCAGGGTCACCCCCCCCCCTTCCTGGGAGGGAACGTGTCTGGCCGTGGGTCACATTCACTGGTTTGTGGGAACCTGGCAAGTGTCCCCCGACTCTTCTCCAGAATGGAAATGTGGGGCGCTAACGAAAATGGCTTCAGGGCACCTACCAAGTATTTCATTCTTTCAGAGTCACCGAGCCATCTGTTTTCCAGCTCTGTGCCGAACGGCGTGACACAGGGCCTTTAGTGTTTGGGGAGTTTGAAACGGGCACCAACACGCGTGCACTTGGAGGAGTCGGGGAAAGGCTCCCGGAGGAGGTGACAGGTTGAGCTGGACATTGCGGGGGCTGAGGGGGGCGGTCTTCAGCTGGGCAAGGGGAGGGAAGGGCATCTGTGGCAGGGACGGTGGAGAGAGCTAGAGAATGCAGTGCAGTGGGTATCACTGGGGAGCAGTGGGAGTCCATCCGCGCGCCTGCGGCTGGTGTGTGGAGAGCTGGGGCAAAGCCGAAGGGGTGTGGACGCCGCAGCCCCCCCAGGAGACGCGCAGGAAGGTTCACAGCAGGGTGTTTGCAAGAGCAAACAACAGAACCGGAAACAGCGCAGGGCTCTCAGTAGAAGGGATGAACGAGCCATAGCACAGCAGTGCGAACGAACTACAGGGATCTGCATCAGTACGGCCGAATCTGAGGAATACTTGAATTATTTATTCTTTTATACGAGATTTAAAAACAAAATGAACAGCAAACGGTTTGTAGGAACTATCGTATATAGTTAAGCTACCAAGAAAAAAAAGGGGGAAGGAAGCACAGGATTGGGGATCACGGTTTCCTCCAGGGGTGGATTGACTTGGGGAGGGGGGCCCCACAGGGCTTTAAAGGTCTTAGTAAGTGTTCTATTTCTTAAGGTGAGGGATGAGTTCAAGGGTGTTAGTTTTGTTCCTAAAACCTTACCCATGTTGCAAATATTCAGGATTTTATAGAGAGAGTTTTTTAAAAAATTAAAGAAACCCGGCCATCTGGGAGCTGGGGCTGGAGCATTGAGTTGTGGCTGCGCAGTGAAGGGCCTGAGGGCCAGGCGAGCAGCCGGGATTTCACCTCGTGTCTCTGTCTGTCAAGGCTGGGGCCACACGGCGTGGGGTAGGCGAGGGAAGGTGCAGGCTCAGACCAAGCAGAGACGGGGAACGGTGGGCTCTTCTGCAAGCCCGGGAGCTACACCCTTTCTTTCTGAGATGCTTGCTTATTGAAATACTTTTTTATTCTCCTGCTTTAAGTTTATAGGGTGTTCCTCACTTTGTGGTGTACTCTCAGGTTTTGTCCTGACGCTAGCCCTGGGTGGGGTAGCTGATGGCCCAGCGTACAGAGAAACTGAGGTCCCAGAGACTTAGGCAGGTCGCCCGAGGTCCCCGGCTACTAAGGGGCAGTGCTGGGGCTAGAACCCAGCTTGCTCTTTACCACGTATCTGTTCTTATGTGCATGTCTGTGTGTGTTTCCATCAGGACTCCCCAACCTCTTCTGACTGAAAACCTGTTGAATTTCCCAGAAGCCCTGTGAGGGGGGCTCCTTCCCCCCGGGAGGCTGCTTCCGAGCAGTGTAGGGAGTCTCGGGGCGGGGGGAGAAGGCCGCAGACGACGCGGGACAGCCGATGCCGGCGAGGCCTCGTGGATCTCGGGCACCCGCTCCATGGCTTTTTCCTCTTCTGAATTTGCATCTAGTGTCTTCTGCTGGGGATGTGGAGAGAGCCAGAGTTCTGAAGGAAGAAGGCAATGAGCTTGTAAAGAAGGGAAACCATAAGAAAGCTATTGAGAAGTACAGTGAAAGCCTCTCCTTTAGTGACATGGAGTCCGCCACATACAGCAACAGGTATCTGCCACCAGCCGCTGGCCTGGGGGATTTCAGGACGTCGGCTGCTGTCCGTAGTCTTCTCTCGGACTGGGGCGGGCTCTTCATTCCTAGCGCTTAGTCAGTGTGTCGCAGCTCGAGATAGGCATTCCCAGTTGTTTTGGTCCCCGTGAGGCAGGTGTGGCCAGTGGCATTTGCTCTCTTAAAGGAATAGACACTGAGCGATGCCGGGGCGCCTGGGTGGCTCGGTTGGGCGACTGCCTTCGGCTCGGGTCGTGGTCCCAGGGTCCTGGGATCGAGCCCCGCATCAGGCTCCTTGCTCGGCGGGGAGTCTTCTCCCTCTCCCTCTGCTTGCTATACCACCTGCTTGTGCTCTCTCTCTGTTAAATAAATAAATAAAACTCTTAAAAAAAAAAGAAAAGGAAAGAAACTGAGCGATGCCAACGTGGAGCCTGGGCTCTGTCAGCCTCCCTCCCCCTCAGGTTTTCATGAACCTTCCAGAGGAGCACACTCCATAAGTAAGAGCAGTGTGCTTGTACAAACACAGCCTCAACGTGTGTCTCGCAGCCCTCCCCCTTTGCCCCAGCCCCACGGGTTCCCCGGACCCTCCTGTTAGAAGGCTTGGCACCGTCTCAGCACCAGGACAGAACCCAGGGTGTGGACTAACTATCGCCTGGCCCGGGAGCGAGAGATGGTCCCGTCTAGCCTGAAGGGTGTGACCTGTGGCGCAGCTGAACACCCCGCGCCACGAGCTGCTGGACGTGAATGCCGGTTCCTTCCACCGACAGTGGGGTCACTATTCCTTTATTGGGTGGGAGTCACGGTTTTGCAACACACTCGGGCGTGCTGGTGGTAGGTGGTCTTGCCCTTTTAAAGTCAAGAAATCAGAAGCTCAGAGCCAGAAGGGCTTTACCTCTGCTCACCGGCCAGTAAGTGGCGGAGACAGACTTGCAACCTGGCTCCGATGAGGTCTTTCTATTAGTTTTACTGTCAGAAGCTTGAAACATTCAGCAAGGGACCTTATCTGATCCAGATCTTGCTTATAAAAGATTTACTACCCAAAATATTATAAATTGTTTCTCCCGCCCTGCTAACATACACATAACTACTCTTTAGTTCAAAAATCTTGGATCTACTATAGTCTTGCCATTCCCTATCCAAAATTCTTGGGATAAAATGTGTTCCAGATCTGAGTAAGGTAATCTGGTCTGTATATTGGATCACATAATACTCCCACAGGGTCTGGGCAGTGGCTGAAGTTCATTGTTAACATTTCTGCCTGAAACACGGGGAAATTCCATGTAACCTCAGGCCTGTGCAGGTCAGGTTTTGCTGTCCAATAAGTTCAAAAGAGAACTTTTTGTTTTAAAGCGTGGATTTTCGAATTTGAGACCTGTGGTCTTACTGGCTGATTGGACCAGGGATGCCTCAGTCTGCCAGGCTCACCGAAGGAAGGGCTGTTGCCCGTTTGTTCTAGGTTTCTGCTGCAGCATTTTGACGCCCCCATCTCTGGGCCCTCTGGACTCACTTGCTTCATACTGAGAGAGACCTCTATTAGCCTGTTTTCCTGGATTTTTAATACATTCAAGACAATGCTTTGTTTTGTTTAAATACAATTTTTCATACAAGTATGTTTTTGCCACAGGTTTGTTTTTTTTTTTCTTTTAGCTTTTATTTATTTATTTGACAGACAAAGAGGGAACACAAGCAGGGGGAGTGGGAGAGGGAGAAGCAGGCCTCCCACGGAGCAGGGAGCCCGATGCGGGGCTCGATCCCAGGACCCTGGGATCGTGACCTGAGCCGAAGGCAGATGCTTAATGACTGAGCCACCCAGGTGCCCCTGTGCCACACTGTTTTAATTATTAGTGCTTTATACGATCTTGTAGGGCTGGTCTTCTCCTTGTTCTTAATCAGAGCATCACTGGCTATTTTCCCAGGTTTGTTCTTCTAGCTAAACCTTCGGATCATTTTGACAGACTCCAAAAAGTATCTTGGTGGGCTTTTGGTTGTGGTTACATTGAATTTATAAATTTAATTTTGAGGACTGATAACTCGACACAAAACTGAATTTCCCATCCATTGTGGCTGAAATTATACCACATCCTGGATGCCATTTTAATGCTCCGCCTTGTGCCTATGCAGCTCTGTGTACCAGCTCATCGTCTTGGCTTCCTTCCCTTCTCTCTGTGCAGTTGGTACCTGAGTGGGGATATCACTCAGGTGCCCAGCACCTACAGCTTGCCCTGAATGAACCTTCAGAAGAGTCTCATTTAAAATTAAAAATGAACGTGAATCCCTACCTCACTCTGTATTTTAAAGTAAATTCTAAGTGGATCACAGTTTCAAATGTAGAAAATAAAACCACCAAGTTGTAGAAGAATGCATGGGTTAATTATCTTGCAGTGGGGAAAGTATTAAAATAAAATTGTTGTGGGGTGGGGGATAAGGACCAGAGAGGTCATTAAAGGAAAGGTAAATTTGATTTCATGAGGTTAAAAAGCCTTATGTAAAGATACTGAGCTTTGCCCATATTTAAAGCAACTACATTAAAATGGACTTTGTTTTCTTCCATTATTGACTGAAGTTAAAGATTGACCCCAGGGTTAGTACAGTTACAGGAAAATAGACAGTTACTGATAGAGCCTCAGAGAGCAGCTCCTTTGCAGAGCATTTTGGCAATAATAGTCACGATTATAAATGCACGTATCTGCTGACCCATCCGTTCCTCCCAGTAGGCATCCTGAGTTTTATGCACAGGATGCTCATGGCAGCATCTTGTATTAGCAAACCGGGAGCAATGAAAAATATCTCCAGATAAGGAATTGGCAAAATAAGTTGTGGTTCATCCAACTAAGTGAATAGTGCTCCCATCGGGAATGGTGAGGTAGAGTGGGTGGAGTTACAGAAGGAGCGCCAAGACACACCTGTTCTTAGTGGCCATCTCCGGAGAAAAAAATGGGGAAGATGTACACGCTTTTTTCCCCGTCAATGCAGAACATTTTGTTGTATGGATGTATGCGGCTATTTTTTCCTCATGATTATGAAAGTTTTCACAGTGTACGTTGAAAGAATTGTATGTTGGACACTCACACCTACCACCCAAATTCCCCGTTAACATTTTGCTACGTTTGCTCTATCGTACGGAGCCACTGACCGGTGCCGCTTGGTTTGGGCGCATTTCAGAGTGAGCCGCAGACCCTGCACCTGCCCGCTGACGTGTCCGCGTGCGTGTGCTCAGGGTCCAGTACTTACGGTAGAGGACTTCTCAATCCGTCGGGGGCGGGGTTCAGGAGCAAAAGAGCGCAGGCTGGGAGCGGGAGGCAGCCCAAGGGACAGGCCCCATGGCCAGGACGGCCGGGACGTGGAGCGTCCGCCCCGCGGCGGCCCCGGTGCTGGCGCCGGTCCCCTCGCCCCCCCGCACCGCGAGGGTGAGGAAGCCGCACGGCCACCGGCCCCGAGCGGTGTCTGCCGCCTCCCAGGTCACCGCTCGGCTGGTGGGCGGCCGCTGAGCAGTGACCGGACCCTCCCGACGGCCTTTCCCGGCAGAGCACTCTGCCATCTGGCCCTGAAGCAGTACAAGGAAGCGGTGAGGGACTGCACGGAGGCCCTCCGGCGGGATGGAAAGAACGTGAAGGCGTTGTACAGACGAGCGCAAGCCTACAAGGCACTCAAGGTAAAGAGCCTGACCGAAAGGCGCCAGCTGAGACGCCTGTGCCTGTGGTGGCCCCACGCCCCCAGGGCAGCCCCCGCGGTGGCTCAGGGCAGGCCTGCAGGCTGGGGTTCGAGACCCTGTGGGCCTTGGCAGCCCCAGCCCACCTCCGTCAGGTCTCCGTCCTCAGCCCCTTCTCTCTCCTCTCAGGACTACAAATCCAGCTTGGCAGACATCAGCAGTCTCCTGCAGCTTGAGCCCAGGAACGGCCCTGCCCGGAGGCTGCAGCAGGAAGTTAAGCAGAGTTTAAACTAAAGACCCAGAAGGTTAGCGGGAAGCCTCTGCCCAAGCTCCCTCCTCTGTGCCTGCTCCTGGGACCCAGCATGCCCCCGAGCGAGCTCTGAGGCCACTCAGACGTGCTGGCTTCCCACCCCTTAAGAGGCTTTGCTTTGTTCAGAATTAAGCTCAGAGTAGTAAAAAGAAAAAACAAAACAAAAAACCCCCAGATGGTGTTCTGCTGGAACGGTCCCCACTGCCGCCTGCCCTGGACAGCTAGCAGAGCACTTGGCTCCGACCCTGCCCCAAGCATGCTCCCCACGGCTGCCCTCCTAGCTTCCCCAGACCCATCTCACTGTGGTTCATCTGAGCAAAGTGAGCGCGGGGGTCGGGAGGTGGGGAGGGGTAAACTAGAGCCCAAAGCAGCCTGTTGAGCTGGTTCTCCAGGGCTGCCATCCCCGCCCTGTCCGTCCCAGAGCTCCTGGTGTTCTGAGCTCCAGTGCCTTTTGGCTGGGCCCTCCTCTGGCAGGGATACAGAATCCTGACCCGCAGGTGGCCTTGTCTGTAGCTCTGGGCTGCTACCCCCTCCTGCGGGGAGGTGCCTGAGCGGTTTTAAGAGTCCGGAGGTGTGGCCGCTCCTAAAGGTGGGATGGAGAGAAAAGGCCTTGAAGTCTGTGTCCTTCCACTCTGGGCAGGGACCATCTTTTGACCTCAACAGTGGCCCCCTCCAAGCTTCTTGGTTCTTTGTCACGCGAAGTTAATTTGAACTAAATGGACTGATTTTGTTGAACTGTGTATCCAAGCTATTGCATTAAACATCTTTCTGGTACGTAGATGCCTGCCGTACTTCCGTACACTTCGTGCTTGGAACTTTGCAGGAACAAAGAGCTGCAGCGTGTTGAGCACTTGCGCACTCGTCGACCAGACTTCCCGGACTGTGTGCGTGGGTCAGGCTGTGTGTACAGTGCGGGGGAAAGCACGGTAACCGACACGGTCCCTGCTCTCGGATGGCTGAGGCCAAGAACCCCAGCAGCAGACTGCAGCCTGCGCGTCTTAGAGGAGCCATCATGTGGCGCTTCTCCCCGACTTGGGGGGCAAGGGGTCCCTGAGGAGGTAAAGCTTGCATTGAGTTCTAACGTGAGAGTTTAACTGGGGAAGAGGGCAGAAAGGCAGTCCCAGCAGTCCCAGTCCCTTTGTAAAGGCCTCAGCTGGGAGGAGAGGGTGAGGACCGGGACCAGAAAGTGCTTTCCTGGGCTGTGTCCCAGTTAAAAAAAAGGGGGGGGGGGACAATTTTTTTTATTTGAGAGAACAAGTGGGAGGAAGGGCAGAGAGAAGCAGACTCCCTGCAGAGCAGGGAGCCCGAGTCGATCCCAGGACCCTGGGATCATGACCTGAGCCAAAGGCAAATGCTTAACCGAAGGAGCCCCCTGGGCGCCCAAATTGTTTTCCCCTTAATGGAGCAGCGAGCAGTTTGAGGACTCTAAGACACAGCAGAGGGATTTCATTGTCCCTCTGCTTGCTGTCACAGGAGTGCTGAGCACCATTCAGCTGGTAGCACAGCTTCTGACCTCTGAAGGATGAGTCCACAGACCTCTGAGCTAAGCAGATTTTAGGGTTCACAGAGAGACCCATATGCGTGGCCAAGGGACCAGAGTGGGGAGCTGTACCCCTTTTATTGTCACCTCAGGCAAGACTCTTTAACTGATGGGAGGCAGGCTTAGTGGTGACATCCATTCACAATTGACGTTTTCTTCTCAAGGTCTGGAAGGCAAGCATCTTGATTTGCTCATGAACACATAGAAGGTAAAATCATGACTTGGGCAGGTATCCGAAAGCGATTCTGTGTGGTTTCTTCTAGAATTACGTTACACAGCCCCTCAGTCAGCCAGAGCCCAGAAGCAGTTGGTGCTTCTGGGGTGTATACCTGCGCTGCAGGGCACTCAAGCCAGGCGCCCAGAAAGCTCCATGTGCGTCAGACACGGGCACCCGTAGCTTTAGTGCTTCTCTCAGTGCTGTGTGAGGAGCACTGCTGGGTGCGGATCTGCTCGCGTGCACACACCTACTGCACTCTGGGTTTCTGCTCCTTCCAGGCAATTCCCCAGCCCAGTCAAACCCCCACCCCTTGCTCTGCCCCACCTCCCTCAGACACAAGAAGGCCTCCTGGGAGACAAGACCGAGTTTGCAGCACTTTTAATGCACAAAGCAAAAGGTGATAGGCTGGCGGGGTGACTAGCCTTCGTTCCACATCCAGAGCTCAAGTACAGATACGGCCCCGTGGGGAAATAAGTGACGGTTCCCAGGGACGGAGAGTCAAGAGCAGGAAACGCCATTCTCTTGTCAGCCAGGGGAGTGAGGATTCCGTTTTCTGGGGATGAAAGGGTAGGAATAGATGTTTCTGACATAGAGCAGACTCGCGGCCTTCAACGAAGAAGGTAGTGGGCCAAGGCAGGCCTTCCGGCAAGGAGTGTGAAGCCGGCCAACGCGCAGGGGAGCCCGGCCCGTCCCCAGTGGGGCCAGGCAGGGTAGCTGGTAAGAGGACACCGCACTCTGCGCGGTGGTCGACACTCCTTCTGATCCTACCGTCTGTCCTTTTCCTTTGATCCTGACAGCTTCCCCCAAACTCCTTGGTGCCTCAGAGAAAGGCAGCCACCCAGTTTCTGAAAGTCAGTCCCTGACTAGTTTTTCCCCGCTTCCCTTGGGCTCCGCGGCTTCCGTGTCCGTCTGTGCCCCCGGCCCCACCCCGAGCCGCCCACCTGGTTTCAGAGCACGTTCCCTGTCGTCAGCTCTGCGGCCTGGTGTGCGTGCAGCACCGCCAAAGCCTCTTCCACCTGTGGGACACGGGGGGGGGGGGGGGGTTGGTGCCGCTGCCCGGCGGGCCCTAGGAGAGGAGTGCCTAAGCGTGCCGGGCACTCGAAGTCCCCGCCCTCCGCGGCACTGCTGCCCCCAAGCGCCCCTGACGGAAACCCAGTCACCTGCTCCCGACAGGTGTCCACTGCTGGACAGCTGGGACAATCTTAACCCTATACTCCGCCACAACACAGCTCCTTGTACCAACACCTTGCACGGGGAGCTGCTGCAGAGAATAATCTGGAAGGGCCGGGATAGTACCCCACCCCCCCCGCTCCCCCACCCCCGCCGCTCAAAGATTCAGCAAGTGCTAGCTGGCATTAGGGAAAAGGGAAACCGTCCCAGCCACAGCCTGGGAGCCCTTCTGGGAGAGGTCTTTGTCATGAGCTCTCGCAGGGCACCCTGGCACCCAGACCACCTTGGCATTGAGGGACTCTGGGGACTCCAGCATGAGCAGCAGCTCCGAGTTGTCGATCTCCAGCAGCATGCCCGTGATCTTGCCCGCCAGCTGGGTGTGGGTATCGTAGATGAGGGGGTACAGACGCTCACCTGTATAGAACACCTGGCTGATACCCCAGCAGCCCAGGGGCGGGGGGCAGGGTGGTGGGTACCGTGGAATGGAGCAGTGAGGCATCTGGGGGCTCGTCCCAGAACTGCTCCTTCCAGGCTGTGTCCCTGAGCTCCACTGGGAGCCTCTTTCCCAACCATAAAGTGCGCAGAGCAAACCCTGCTTCGGAGGCTAATTTGAAGAATCAAATTTGATATTCTAGGTGAAGTTACCTACACAGGGTCGGACACTGACTTGGGGTTTAAAGACTACTCTTGCTCATCTTAAAAGAAATAGTTCCCAAATACACACTGAAATTCTAGACAAGATATGCTAATGCCGAACTGGACTTTTGAGGGGGCGGGGGGAGCCACATATACAAGATAAATTCACCTTCCACCATCAGGCACTTCTAGTGACAGGGCCTAGCACTGGTAGCCAGCCCCTCTCGGCCATGTGGGGAGGGTCTGGCCAGGCTGGGGTGCTGGGGTGGGAGAGGTTTTCCCACGAGTAAAGTGAAGAGGTTTACAGGGAACGGCTAACAGCCTCCTGCCTCCATGAAGCCCATGAAGAATTTCCTTTGAGCAGTGGGAAGTGGCAAGACCCCAAGTGAGCTGAGGAAACAACAGGGTGGTGGCAAAGGGGGCCCTCAGAGCGGCTCTGGACATCTTGGTGGCCACGGACGGAAGAACCTGCCACCCAGTAGCAAGCCTGTCATTCATTCGACAGTGAGTGGCATCCTTTGGCAGGGCCTGCCGTAGACACTGCACTGGGGACGAACTGCACAAGGAACTCACAGCCCAGCAGGGAACGTGTGTTTGCCCCATGCCCCATGCACACTTATCTCCCACCTCCCTGCAGTGGCCACTGGGAGCTGGATGACATGTGGGGACAGCCTCTTCCCCTTCAGGAGAGGTGAGGAGCTGCGACGCCCACCGGCAGAAACCCAAGACCACACCCTGGCTCCTGGCCCCCAGTCGGGGGCCTGGAATAGCAGAGCTGAAGAAATCTCGGGACCATCTGCTCTGACCAGTGTTTTAAGAGAGGGAGGGAGGCCGAGAGAGCAGAGGCGACCCCAGCAAGGTCACCCAGCAGGTCAGTCCGCAGCAATGCTGGACCTCGTCCACACGTCTGACCTCCACCCAAGGTCTCCCCCCACCAGGCTGGCCCCCTCTCAGCCCCCGCTTCCGGCTGCAGCCACCCACCGATCATCTGCTTTTGCTCGGGCAGCGGTGCCGCGGCCAGCATGGACGCCGTCAGGGGCTCCTGTCCCGGGATGCGCACAGCGGGCTCCTGCATCTGTACACGGGACAGGAGGGGGACACGTCCCTCAACCACCACGGACAGGCAAGGCCTCGCCACCCTTACCCTGTCAGCGGGGCACAGGCCTCCAGGGAAGCTCTGGAGAGCGGGGCAGGGGGCAAAGTACGGACAATGTCCCTAACAAGGGCACAGTGGGCTAGACACTCCAACTCAGATGCCTTCCCCAGTGCCAGGAACCTAGAACGGCCCCCGCCTGAATACTGCCGCAGGAAAGCATTACTATTCACTTTGTGCCAAATAACGTACTTTTTATCACGTAGCTTTAATGGCCACGTCCCCAGCATACTCCTGACCCTTCCACATTACGGGAACTTCTAGCGCATTTTGCCGTTTAAAGAGGACATCTGTTCTTTTTGCAAGAAAGAGTTTGAAGTATACACATTGAAATTCTAGACAGGCTAGGATAATGCCGAGTTTGGGACTTGGGCAGGGGGCAGGGAGATAAATACATAGCTTTTTTAATCACAACCTTTCAAATATTCAGCGTATTTCTAGAAGCTCTTTCCTTGCTGCTCAACGCTGAATACTAAAGAAACCCAGATTAATTTTTCTAATAACCCAGGCAGAGCAAATCATAATTAATAAACCAAATGTGATCTTGGCCCTTTCCCTCCTTCTGTTAGTAAAGGGGATTGTTTCTCGATTGCACACATTAGTAAATGAAACTTCCCAATTCAAGAAAAGAAAAGAAAAAAGACAAAAACGAAAAACAAGGCCCAGAGAGGGCCAATGCCTCCAATGCCTTAGCCAAGGTTCTGAGCCAAGCGTCCCAGAGCCCGGACTAAGAGGGCAGTCAGGCCAGCCTTACCCCAGGGTTGTGTGGTGCTGAGGGATATTTGTGCGTCAGGAGAGGCCCGCTTGGTGTAGAATATCCCACCGCACTGGCTCCTGTGGTCTGGGTGCCGATGTTGGCTGTAAGAAATAACGGGGCTGTTACGGCCTGACGGCGATCGAAAGCCACAAAGCCTCAAGATGAGCGTCCACGTAGCAGCCCAGCGCGAGCCAGGAGGCCAGCACATAGACGTGCACACGGCTCCTGCGTCCTCGCTAAGGTCCGATCTGAGGCTAAGCCCTGGCACGTGTGAGCTCGTTCACCCGCGGGACCAAACCGGAATGCTATTTTCATCCCTCTTTTAAAGATGAGGTGATCAGATGGTTAGCAAGGCCACAGAGTGAGCTGGCCCCAGGAGCTGGGTCTGGGGGACTCCGGGGCCCACGAGAACTCCTATGCCACACGGCCTCCAGTCGGCGCTGCTCGCCAAGAGGGCCCATGACGAGGTCACCGTGGAAGCCAGTCCTGACTCCCCACCTGTGCTGACCCAGCACCAAGCCCTTGCCCCGCCCTCCTCACACCCCCATTCGTCTTGGCCCTGCCCACACTCACCCACTCTTTGGGTGTGGGGCAGCGGGGGTGGCACCTGGGTAGAGGCCTGCCTGACACTGCTGACCTGGGCCGGGGGGCGCCGCAACATGGCTGGTGGCCGGACCACTGAGGCAGCTGGAGGATAGGTGGCTTGTGGCACAGAGAACATGGACAGAAAAGTTGGTGGGGCAGGACAATCCGAGAGGCCCACTGCACCCTGAAGGTTCCAGGGTGAGGAAGGGAATGGGAAGGGGGAACCAGAACGTTCTCAGCAAAAAAGATGAGTGAATTCAGCGAGTCAGGCAGACCCGGACTCCGGGGAAGGGGAGTGTGTGGAAATCTACAACTACAAAGCCAACTTGTTTCTACCCAGAGCCCAGGAGGCACAGGCATCATGATTGCACCCACGGGGCCCCCAAGACACTGTCAAGTCAGGGTGAGGGCCCCTCTAGGGAGGGGCCATCCATCAGCAGCACAGCCCCAGGAGTTCATTGTGACGGTCACAGACCAGTCTTGGGCGCTAACTGAAGAGAATGGCTACACCCCCGAGTCTTTTACAAGCTGGGCACTGCGTGGTGCTTCGTGCACACCTCGTTCAGAAGAGGAAACCAGAGGTGAAGTTACCCACCGAATGAACACCCAGGGGACTAGCAGAGCCGGGCTTGCCCCCAAAGCCGATGTCCTTAGCCCCGGGTTCCACACTGCCCTGCGGGGCCCACCCCCGCGGGCCAGGCTGAGGGTACCAGGGGCTGAGTCACTCACAGGAGGGTCTCGGAGGCTGGGCCGTCCACCTGGGGGCGGGCTGCATGGGGGGGCCGGAGGCATAGTACGCAGCCTGGGCTGGAGACTGTGAGGGAGAAGACGGGTAGTCAGGGGCCTGCAGCAGGTGAGAAACCGCATCCCCTCCTGGACACCCCCGAGGGAACGCCACTGCCCCCTCCAGGGACTGGTTAGTGAGGCCCCACGAGCTGGGATGAGGCCCCTGCTGCTCAGCTCAGGCTGTCCGTGAGCCCTGAGCCCTCCGGGGAAAGGGCTTAGGTTCAATCCTTGACCCTGATCAGAGCGGGTAGCCCAGAGAGCGGCACGAGATGGTCACACCTACTCGGGCCTGTGCTGGCTGAAGCTACCGCTAAAAGGAGCCGGTATGCCCATCCCAGTAGCTGCTCATGGCCAACACCTTTCCGCTTCCTCTAAGGCCCGTGGGCTCCCTTCGGAACACAGGCCTCCAGCAGGGAGGCTGGCGGGCGGCCCAGTCAGGACTGGCTAAGCCGGGGAAATGCTACTTGCTCTCTGCTGGGGTGGGGAGGCGCAAATGCACAGCAACACGTTAGGTGAGAGTAATGTGCATAGGCGAGTGTCGTGCAGCATAGAAAGCTAGGTCCCTTTTATTTAATGCATTGTTTCTCAAACTTACTTGACCGGACAGGGTCTCTGCACAGAACACAAATCTCTCCCTGGGCGGGAAGGGCTGTTCGACAGCAACACGCCTACCCGCCTCTTACGGACCAGGTTAAAACGGCCTGCCTGCCGAGTTTCCAGCAGAAACACGCGGAGAGCCCACATCTACCTGGGAAGCCGGCGTCCTGCTCTACCTGGCTGTCAGGGAGGGGGCGCGGGCGGGTCATCACCTGGGGCACGGCGGGCAGGAAGTAGCCGGCGGGCTGCTGGAAGGAGCCCAAGAGGGGGCCGCCCAGCGCCCGCACCGTGGACAGACGCTGCATGTACTGGTTGGTCAGGATGGCCTTCCGCTCCTCTTTGCGCTGGGCCAGTGCCACGTACAGTGGCTTGGTGCCCACGATGCGCCCGTTCATCTCGGTCACGGCCTTGGTCGCCTCTTCTGGAGAGGAAAAACACACAAAGCCAAACCCCTTGCTGTGGCCACCCTCTGTCATCACCTAAAAGCAAGACAAGACAAGGGCTGCTGGGGGTGGGGAAGGAAGACTCCTGGGGGCTGTGCTCCCCTCCTCCCCGCCCCAGGTCCCAGCCCGGCACTGAGCAGGCCCAGAGAAACCGTCCCCCCGACATTGACTGAGGCCCACTGCATGCCAGATACTGGATGTGCCTTCTCATGTCACGTGTACCGCCACCTGATGGGGGGGCACCCGATGGGGGCGCCACTCCCACTTCACAGGCGACGGAAGTGGGGCTCAAGAGTGACTTGGTGGAGATCAGGCCACTTGCTAACTGGGGGCTGCTTGCTGTTTAATAGGACACTCCCCAGAGTCCGTGGGAACCGCTGCATTTCAGGATTTTTGTATTTTCTTCCTGAAATGATTTTCCTAAGCTGTGATGGAAAGCTGGTTTAAACAGAATCTACCTTCATCACATGGGCTATCATGAAGGAAAAGGATAGTTTAGGATTGCTTAAAATCTAAGAACAGGGCAGGGTTCTTTTCCTAGAGCCACAATCTTAAACACTCCATTTGAGGTTCCGGTGATGAAAATCCGCATTTCGACTACTCTTTGGTTTTTTTAAACTACCCATACAATTCTTTTGGTTTATTTGGGAATTAGGGAAAGAATACAATGTTCTTAAGAGTAAGTTTCCTAGGCGCCTGGGTGGCTCAGATGGTTGGGCGTCTGCCTTCGGCTCAGGTCATGATCCCGGGGTCCTGGGATGGAGTCCCACATCGGGCTCCTGGCTCAGCGGGGAGTCTGCTTTTCCCTCTCCCTCTGCCTCTCTCCCTGCTCATGCTCTCTCTCTCTCTCTCTGTGTCTCAAATGAATAAATAAAATCTTTAAAAAAAAAAAAAAAAAGAGTAAGTTTCCTAGAAAGTCCAATTAGATTTGCATGGAATATAAAATGATTTAAATTTATATTTTTGGTGACTTATTCTATTTTCTTTGTGGTAGAAATAACAGTCCTTACTACAATTAAAAAAAAAAAAAAAAAGCGACTTCTCTAGGGTCACCCAGCCTGTGGACACCCATCAGCCAGGATTCAAACCCAATGCAGTGTTCTGGTAAATGTCCACTGCCTCTCCAAGGCACTGAGCCAAGTTCGTTAGGAGTCTGGGAAGAGGTTCTTAGCTTTGCTAATAACGTTTAAATTTTGGAATAACTTTAGGGCACCTGGGTGGCTCAGTTGGTTAAGCAACTGCCTTCGGCTCAGGTCATGATCCTGGAGTCCCGGGATTGAGTCCCGCATCGGGCTCCCTGCTCGGCAGGGAGTCTGCTTCTCCCTCTGACCCTCACCCCTCTCATGTGCTCTCTCTCTCTCAGTCTCTCTCTCAAATAAATAAATAAAATCTTTAAAAAAAAAAATATTAAATTTTGGAATAACTTTAGATGTACAGAAAAGTTGCAAAAATAGTACAGAGTGGCTATCTTTCAGCCAGCTTGCTCCAATGTGAACAGGGTACATGTGTATATTAACATTGGGACAATACTATTAATTATCAGCCACAATGCTATTATTAACTGAACCGCAGGTCTCATTCAGCTTTCACTAGTTTTTCTAATATTTTTCTCTTCCAGGATCCAATCCACATTGCATGTATGGTTCGTAATCTTTTTTGGGATCAAGACACTGGCCTGGCTCACACATTTGGACTTGAACCGACATACTTTTTAAATCTGCTCTATTAGAGCCCGTGTTCTACATAATTGGTGTTCAAACTGCACTTTGCTACCCATTCACATTGGGGCCTGGGCCTGAGGGTTCACAGATCCCCCTCAGGGAGGCCAGTGGATAGAAGTCAGGAGGTCTATGAACTTGGATGGGGGAAAAAATGGCCTCTTTGTTTTCACATTAGCGTTCCCTTCTATTGTGAATATGGGCAACAAAAATAGGGGAGTCTTGGCTGTGCTTGGGATTTTGTCAGGAAGAAAATATTTTCATATCATGTTAATCACTGCTGCCCCCCACATAACTTCTATGCTAATGCCACCTCCCTAGATCGTATAGCTAGGTACAGTAAGGAAGCACCTACTCCTGTCACCTCCATATTTTGAGAGTTGTGTTTCAATATAATTGTTTTTTTGTAATCCTCTGAATTTTTTTTTTAAAGATTTTATTGATTTATTTGACAGAGACAGAGAGAGCATAAGCAGGGGGGGCTGTCGGCAGAGGGAGAGGGAGAAGCAGGCTCCCCGCTAAGCAGGGAGCCCGATGTCGGGCTCGATCCCAGGACCCTGGGATCATGACCTGAGCCGAAGGCAGACGCTTAACCGACTGAGCCATCCGGGTGCCCCTCCTCTGAACTTTCTTTTATGCATTGAAAAATATTCTCAGAAGGGATCCATAGGCTTTCATAACCCAGATTTTCTTGGCACAAAAGTATTGTCTTAACAAGTAAATAATTAGAACTTCTGTTAGGTAGTAAATAATGACAAAATACATTGATGCAGCTTACTATAAACATGATAGTACTTTTAGCACTTTATATGCCTTAACTCATTTTCATTCTCACTGTATTTTATATACAATCGAAATCATAAATATAAAGGTACATAAAATCCCCACTTTATAACCTAATTGGTCAATTAACAAGATAGTGCTGCAACTCTGAGCAACCCAGATTTTTACAATTCCCTTCCCTCAAGGAGTCCTCAAGGAGGTCGGTGAATCTCCAGAAATTAGACACTACGTGTGAATAATCAGATCATCATTTCACTACTTGTTGTGGGCAGGTGCTCTGCATGCAGGCTCCTTAGTGCTCAGGATACCTCGAGAGGTAGATAATGTTGCTCCCATTTCACAGATGGGTAAACAGACTCCAAAAGGCAAAGTCACTTCCCTCAGATTCTACAGTAGTTAATGTAGGACTGGGATTTACACCTAGTTCTAATTAACTTTAACATCCCAGTTTTCAACCACAATACTACACAAGGTATATATTTGCTGGGAAAGAGGGCCCATAGCTTTTTCATAACGTTTAAGCAAATTTACTGATGCTTATTTACATGTCCCATAGCTCTGTCATTTTTTCAAAGATCCTTAACTCAAAAATTGTTAGAACCTCTGCCCTAAACACCAGGCTTCCTGAAGGACATTTAAAATTGTTTTCAACAGGGATGCCTGGGTGGCTCAGTCAGTTAAGCATCTGCCTTTGGCTCAGGTCGTGATCCCAGGGTCCTGGGATTGAGTCCTACATTGGGCTCCCTGCTCAGTGGGGAGCCTGCTTCTCCCTCTGCCTGCCGCTCCCCCTGTTTGTGTTCTCTCAGACAAATAAATAAAATCTTTAAAAAAGATTTAAAAATTTAAACAATGCAATTGGATTCAAAAGGCAAAAGAACTTCTAGACCACTTCCCAAGAACCCAACCATCACATCACATATTCTGGTCTCCAGCCCCATCACTCACACTGATATCTTTGGAAAGTTCTTCATTCCTCCCTGTAGCTCCCTACCTCCTCACAGTCAAGCCAAATGCTTCTGCCACTGCCACTTCTTGCAGGAAGCCCTCCTTCCTGTTCCCCTGAGCTACCACAGCTCTGCCTCCAATACCCCCAATCACCCCACAAACACCTTATAATGGATTTGAGTTAGTGATGCATCTGACATCCTCACTTGATTATAAGCTAGTCAAGGGCAAGAACCACATCTAACTCGTTACTATAGGCTTCCCAGAGGGCCTGGTAAGACAGGAGGTGCTTAAGTATGGAATGAACGAACACTGGGTTATATGAAAATCATCTGAGGAGCTTTAAAATAAAATGCCTAGGCCCTACTCTGAAACCTTCCATTTGTCTAACTCAGGTATCTGTAAGAGCTCCCCGGAGGGAGGGGTTAATAAGCCAGGGCCGAGAAACATCCAATGAGCCCAACACTCTCATCGTATAGATGAAGTTCAGAAGACATGGGCTAAAAAGTAGAACAGCCAATCATCACGTGTCAGGTGCTAAGTGGGCTGGGCACGTGGCAAGTGCTCAGTAAATGGGGAAGAATGAATGACAAATGAAGCAGCCCAACCCTCTCATTTTCCAAATGGGGAAACTGAGGTCCAGAAGACAAGAGTCAGCGGAAATTCTGAGACATGAATTTCTAGAATCTGGCATACAGTAGGCACTCAATAAATGCTTTTTGAATGAACCAAGGTTATAGGGAGCCCCAATAAGTCCAGCTGTGTGACTGGGACTGGACTTCCACCCTCTGCCCCTCCAGAGCAGACAAGGCTGCAGATGACATCAAGCTCCAATGGGGGTCAGACATAGCCCCCCAAACCCTAAAAGGAGTAGCTCAGCACCAACCCCTTGGAAGCCACGAGGGAGGGAGGGAGGGAGGGAGGGAAGGGTGTGCAGGCAGCAGGACAGGACAGGCAGGCTCTCTATCCCCTGTAGGTGCCCCCAGTCCTCACCTTAGCACTGGTAATCACTCCATAGGGTGAGAACTCTTTTCTCAGCTTCTCATCATCAATGCAGTCATCTAGGTTCTTAACGTACAGGTTCACACCCTAGAAAGAAAGGTTATTGCTCAGTGTGTCCCTTCCCCTCCAAGCCCCAGGTAGCCTTGTGTCAGAGGCCAACGCAGGCCATGGTGGGGCCTGGAAGCCCTGGCCACCCAGCCTCCTGTTTCCAGTCTTGCATGGCACCCATGCCCCCCACTCACTCAGCGTGCCCATCCCCTGGAAGCTACAGCCACCGCCCCCCTGCCCCCCCTTTAAAGCCAAGTTCCCAGACGTGGGATTGCTGGAGGAAGGCTTCCCATTCAGGGCCCTCCACACACGGACACGCTCACTTAGCAGGGGGCTGTCACCTGGTAACGGGTCAGCCGGTCCTGCTTCATCTGCTCGAACCTGCGCTTCAGCTCATTCTGCCGTTCCACACGCTTCTGGGCCCGGCCCACGTACAGCAGCCGCCCGCTCACCTCCTTCCCATTCATGTCCAGCACAGCCTGGCCAGGGGAGGGGAGAGAGTCCTTGGTAACCACCTCCCCCCACCCCTCCCCCGGGGCCCTGGTCTCCAGTCCCAGTGTCCGGTCCTGAAGGGAGCCACCTGCAAGCTAGGCCAGCCTCGCTGGCTGAGAATAATTAGAACCAGGATAAAGGCCATTTAAAGTGAATCCACTTTTTGAAAACATGGGACAAAATTTCAGAGTAAACCACAGATATAAAAAATGTGGAGACGCCTGGGTGACTCAGTCAGTTAAGCGCCTGCCTTCGGCTCAGGTCATGATCCCAGGGTCCTGGGATCCAGTCCCTCATCAGGCTCCTTGCTCAGCAGGGAGCCTGCTTCTCCCTCTGCCCGCTGTTCCCCCTGCTTATCCCCTCTCTCTCTGGCATATAAAATCTTTAAAAAAATAAAATAAAAAATTTGATTGGAGCTGTACTTTAAAAAGTGAAATTGAAATAAGCAAATTTCCCATATTTAACATTTAGGTTCTTAACTGTATCTACACCTGAGACTGCCATGTCCTAAATTGTCAGTGGCTTTCTCTTCTTCAAGACATGCAACTTCTCTTAATGCATTTATCCTGAACTGAATTTACATGGACTCATCTGCAAAAAATCAGCAAAAGGTAGACTCGTGTGTGTACCAGCTCAATGGTTAGGATTAGACACTAGCAGTAGTGAGGAGAAATGTTTCAAAGGGGACTTTTTAAAGTAAGCCCTATGCCCAAAGTGGGGCCTGAACAAAAGGGAACTGACTTTTTAAGTGGTCAGCTAGTTAGTAAATATTTTCACATAGGGGCCTGGGTGGCTCAGTCGGTTAAGCATCTGCTTTCAGCTCAGGTCATGATCCCAGGACCTAGGATCAAGCCCCACATCAGGCTCCCTGCTCAGCAGGGGGTTCTGTTTCTCCCTCTTCCCCTGCTCCCCACTTGTGCTCTCTCTCTCCCTCTCACTCACTTTAAAAAAAATATTTTCACGGGGAGCCTGGGTGTTAAGCGTATGCCTTCAGCTCAGTTCATGATTCTGGGGTCCTGGAATCGAGTCTCGCATGGGGCTCCCTGCTCCTTGGGAGTCTGCTTCTCCCTCTACCTCTCTCTCTCTCTCTCATGAATAAAATCTTTAAAAAAATAAAAAAATACTTTCACATAATTGTGACTTTAGCATCCCCCCCTAAACATGCAAATCCATGTAAACATACTCTCGGGCCCCAATAAAGTTAGTTCCACCTCAGTCTTAAAAGGTCGTTACCTGGGTTTTCTATTCTGTTCCATTGATCTGTGTGTCTATTTTTGTGCCAGTAACATACTACTTTGATGACTACAGTTTGGGATTATTATTCAGCCTTAAAAAAGAATGAAAGCTTGCCATTTCAAGGACATGGATGAAGCTAGAGAGTATGATGCTAAGCAAAATGGTCAGAAAAAGATAAATATCATATGATTTCACTCATGTGGAATTTAAGAAACAAAACAAATGAGCAAGGGGAAAAAAAAGAGGGAGGCAAACCAAGAAACAGACTCTTCACTATAGAGAACTGACGGTTAGCAGAGGGGAGGAGGGTGGAGGGATGGGTGAAATAGGTTAACACAGTATAATATTAGTTTCAGGTGTACAATATGGTGATTCAACAGTTTCATACAGTAGCCGGTGCTCATTCCAACAAGTGCACTCCCCAATCCCCATCACCTATTTAACAAGAGTTCATTTTTTATAGGTAATATTCCACTGAGCGTGTGTGTATAAGTATATACATACACACACACACACACACACACACACACAGCCCACATCTTCTTTATCCATCTGTCAACTGATGGACATTTGGGCTGATTCCATAATTTGGCTATTGTAGAGAATGTGGCTATAAACATCACGGTGTGTATGGAATTGTTTGGAATTGTATGGAATCACTATATTGTACACCTGAAACTAATATAACACTGTAAAAAAAAAAATGTACGCTTACAGAAAATAAATAAAAGTCATTGCCAAAGTCTCTAAGACCTTGGCATCTATGGATCCCTGAAGCTTCAGCCACCTATTCCACTTGTCATTTTACAGTTGAGAAAACCAAAGCCTAGAGAGAGGGTGGGATTTGTCCAAGGACACGCAAGAGGTCACCTTTGAAACGGGCCATTTGCACTTAAGAACAAAGCTCCGAGGTCAGAAAGAGCAGGTTCTAATCCCGGTGATGCCTCTTACCAGCTACACCCTTGGAGCACTTGGTGAAAACGGCCGAGCCCACGCTGGTGGAACAGAGAGGAGAGTGCATGCAGCCCTTAGCACAGTGCCTGGCCCCTGCTAAGTGCTCAGGGAGTCGTGGCTGCCATCAAGGTGGCACCGGGTCAGATCTCTCTAGCCAGAATCCACAGTGAGCTGAGATCCCCCATGTCCAACGGTCTTAATGGGGCAGCAGCCTGGGAAAGAGCTTTAGAGTGGAAAGCCAAATAGGAAAACATTACTCCAGCTCTGTCACGACGTGACCTCGTTCCATTCACTTGTTCAGCCAATAGGTATCTGGTATCTATTGGCAGGTGCAACACCAGAGATTTAGCTGTGAAATGAGACCCAGTCTCTCCCCTCAGTTCTATACATGGAGATCTGTGTTACTGATGGAGAGAGGCAGAAGGGGTACCTCGCCAGAAGCATGAGGTTAGAGGAGGCTTCTCGGAGGAGGGAAAGTATAAGGGGAAACCCACAGGGTAAGCGCTAAGTTGTCTAAAGCCACACTGTCCAATATGGTGGTCACTAGCCACGTGGAGCTACTGAGCACTGGAACTATGGCTAGTCTGAGCTCACGTGCTGGGAGTACCAGATTTCAAAGAATTAATACAAAAAAAGGGGAATGTAAAATATCTCAATTTTTTTATTGAATATACACTGGAGTGATAATTTCAATATGTTAAGTTGAATGAGACATTATTAAAATCAGTTTGTTGGTTTTTTGTTTTTTTTTTTTTTACCCTTTTTAATGTGGCTGCTGGAAAATAATGTGGCTCCCATTATATTTCTATTGGACAGCACTAATCTAAGGAGCAAGAGTAGGGAAACATTTTGAGAAACAGCATTTGCAAAGACCTGGGAGCTAGGAATCACATAGCACTTCCCCTCCCCAGCCTCAGTCCCACCATCAATTCAAGAGGGCCGTGGCTATCTCAGAGGCCCTTCCACCTCCCATGTGGGCAAGAATCTATGTAGAGCAGTCGGCCTTAGGGTTTGGAAGCACCCAAAGGAGGCTACAACCTTCTGCCTTTGCCACAGGCAGGAAGGGCCCTGACTGGTGTGGGCCCAGGCTGGGGAGGGACTTTCTTCTCCTCCGTGGCAGCTGGAGCCCCCTGAGCCTGATCTCCTTTCTTCCTAGTGCTGGCTTGGTGCCTCCTCCATGAAACAGAGCCATGGGGAGGCTCCTACCTTCTGGGCTTCCTCATGCTTCTCAAAGTTGACAAAGCCGAAGCCTCGGGAGTGGCCACTGTCGTCCCTCATCACCTTCACACTCAGCATCTTCCCTGGGAAGGGCCAACCTGGCTCAAAGGGGAGTTTGGGAAGCCCCAGGGTGTTCCCCTCCCTTACCCCCCCAACCCGCCCCCACCCTCTGGGGGCTTGAGACTACTTAGTGCTGCCCCCTGCTGACTCCTCAGGAAGCCCCCAGAAAGGCTGCCCCTCCTCCTAGCCCAACCTGGGGATAGAGGACAAAGTGATCCCTGATTCCTTTGGGGAACACACCCACCAAACTGGGAGAAGAGGTCCTGCAGGCCCTGCTCGTCCACGTCCACATGGAGGTTCTTCACATAAATGTTGGTAAACTCCATGGCCCGAGCTCCCAGCTCTGCTTCCCGCTCTCGTCGGGACTTGAAGTGGCCGACGAAGCTGTGGACACACTGACGGGGTAGGCAGCCGCCAGCCCTCTGCCACCCCCATCCCACCCGGCAACCCTGGGTCACTGACATCAATTGCTGCCAGCCCCCAAGGCCCCTGTATCCCGAATCGGGAGGCTGGGCAGGGCAATACTCTCTAGATGGACTACAGTCAAGGCCGGACCACTTCTAACAGCCAAGATTCTATGCTCTAGCATAAGGTTAGGAAGAGTTCGTTCTTGGGGCAAAGGCACAGGGAACTCCTACCATACACCAGGCAGCTGAGTGTGCAGGAGAGAAGAGCAAGCATGAACTTGAGAGTCATACAGATGAGGGCCTGAATCCTCACGCTGCAGTTGCCTAGCGGTGTGACCCTGCGCAAGTTACTTAACCTCTCTGAGCCTCAGCGTTCATTCCTATAAAACGGGATGAAGGGCGCCTGGCTGGCTCAGTCAGTGGAGCATGCGACTCTTGGTCTCAGGGCTATAAGTTCAAGCCCCACGTTGGGTGTAGAGATTACTTAAAAACAAAACAAAACAAAACAAAACAAAAAAAAACTACAGGGACGCCTGGGTGGCTCAGTCGGTTAAGTGTCTGACTTCGGCTCAGGTCATGATCCCAGGGTCCTGGGGATCGAGCCCTGCATCGGGCTCCCTGCTCAGCGGGGAGTCTGCTTCTCCCTCTGCCCCTCCCCCTGCTCATGCATGCTTGCTCTCTCGCTCGCTGAAATAAATAAAATCTTTTAAAAAAAATACAAAATAAAATAAAAACTGGGGATGAAACTCTGATCACAGGCATTTGCTTATTCATGTAACAGGTACTGGATGCACTAGGGAAGCAGTGGTGAGAGAACCAGACACGGCCCACGCGAGAGTTACCCCATGAAACAACACAAGAGGCTTAAGAAAAAAATTCAGTCATGCTGAGAAGGCTGGAAAACAGCCCTGAATCCAGCGGTGATCTGGCCATTAGCTGTTCCTGCTGGAATTTCAAAAGCCTCTCACTTACGACTCGGAGCAATCCTCTAAGGAATATCAGCAGCCCCGTTCTTCCCTGGGGAAAGGGAGCTCCCGAGGGACTGAACTGTTCCGAGGTCACACCGCCAGGAGAGTTCTGGCTGAGGCTCAGTGTCCGGTGCCCAAGAGGTGGTGACGGGCAGCCTCTGGCCCCCCATGTCCCACCACTCACACTTTGCGGTCATTCAGCAGCATCCCGTTCATGGTGGCAATGGCCTGCTGTGCAGCCTCATGGGTCTCAAAGTGGACAAAGCCGAAGCCTCGGGAACCGTGATCATCACACACCACCTGGGCCACAGGGGAGAAGGAGGGGGTTGGGGGGGCCCCCACAGAGGGTTCAGGTACAGAAGAATGGCAAAGGTAACAAATAACTACTATCTGAGCGCTTACTCTGTGCCCCACACAGAGTCCCTCCACGTTCCACTCCAGCCCGAGCTCTTCCACCCAGATTTAATCATGTTGACTGGGGCCCCACTCTGGGCCAAGCACCTGCTAAGGGGATCACATGCTTATCTTGTCCTATTTGCTATAAGAGCCCCTCCAGGCAATTCTTAACCTCTGAGCCCCCACTGCCTGATGGGGGAAAATGGAAATGAAGGACTAGTCCAAGGTCATTAGCCACCAAAGTTTTTGATTATGATAGCTACCACTTAGATGGTGAACAGGGTGCTGGGTGTCCTTTCAATGTCGTGAAGATTACCAGACTTAAAACACATGCACAACAATCCTATGAGGTAGGTTCTACCACGGCCCCTAACTTTTAGAGGAAGCCGAGGTATGGAGAGGTTACTCAGCTGGTCCAAGGTCACAGTGCCAGGAAGTGGAAGAGGCGGAATTTGAACCCCAGACAGTCAGTACCAAAGTCCAAGATCCGACCGACTGTGTTGTGCTGACTTCTCAGTAGCTGGCCGGACTCCACGGGTTTAGTGCTCTTCCCACCCCGCTACAGAACCCTTTCCAGGGCAGCCCCGTGGAACTGGTTTCTATCCTGAGCCTCTGACTACACGGCTCACTAGGCTTCTCCCGCAGAGCCCAATTTCCAGCTTTTCCTAAAAGTCTCACCGTCTCCAACCAGTCTGAGAGCTCCCAGGGTAGGCCCCACACCGTGCGCCTTGCATCTAACCTGGCCCACCACCACAGTGGGTCCTCGTTAGGCCTCAGAGACTCGCCCAGGTCACATCCAGCTTTCTGACCAATCCTCAGTGGCCCAGAGGAAGCCTCGAGGCCTGACCGCCCTGATGGCCTTAATTAGCAGCCTTCCGGTATCCATGCCCTTTATCCTGTCGTGTCTACTGTCCTCTCTCTCTCTGAATTTGGACTGGTCTTACGACTTGCTTTGGCCAACAGAATGCAGTGGAAGGAACGGCGGGCCAGTTCTGAGCTTACATCTCAAGAAGCCTGGTGAGCTTCCAGTCTCCTGGGACGCGGCCCTTGTCATGAGACTAGCCTGGGCTAGCCCACTGGAGGAGGAAAGACCGTAGGGAGAGAGCCGAGGTGCTCCAGCTGACAGCCAGCCACCTCTAGAAGCAGAGCCAGTCAGCTTGCAGCGGGCATATGAAGGAGCCAGCTGAGAGCAGAAGTGCCCAGCCAAACACAGCCCAGATTGCCAACTGCAGAATTATAAGCTAAAGAAAGCCTTGTTGTTGACAGCTCAGCAAGGTGTGAAGCGGGGTGCTGCTTGGGATCCTTTTGCCACATGGGTATTTAACACAGACCCTCCCCCGCAAGGACACACACCCACCTTGCAAGAGAGGATGTTCCCAAAGGTGGAGAAGGTGTCATATAAGGCCTTGTTGTCAATGGAGTCCTCCAGGTTCTTGATGAAGATGTTGCCCACACCCGACCTGCGGAGTCCTGGGTCTCGCTGGGACCACATGATGCGGACGGCCTGGCCTTTGATCACTTCAAAGTTCATTGTGTCCAGTGCCCGCTCCGCTGGACCGGGGTGGGGGGATGGGGAGGAGGAGAAAAAGGAGCAAGTAAGGGTATTTCTTTCCCTGAGCCCCCAGGTGCTTCATTGGAAGCAAAAGAGGGAAAAAAGAAAAAAAAAAATCACTGCCTGGGTCTCACTTGAGAGAAGAACCTGGAGCCTCAGGGGAGATATGCAGAAAGAATTAATGTGCGGCACGCTCCTCCCACCTTCCCATTGGGGTCTCATTCAGCTCCTCGTAGAGCCGCGTGAGCATGGATTCCTATCCCCACTTCGCAGAGGGAAAACAGAGGCTGGGAAAGGGGGAGGGTCAGGGGCGGAGCAAGGTCCACTGCGGTTTTCGAAAGCACACCAAGTAGATGAAAACAAAAAGGAGAGCCCATAAGACGAAGAGTGGCAGCAGTTAGGGGAAATCAGAGCTCAGAGGTACCGAGGAGCAGAGTTGAGACTCAATCCCAAGTCGTAGGGCTCTGGGGGAGAACACCTCTCTGAGCTGCTTTCTTCACCTGTGAAGTGGGGATGAGGAGACAATTACCCCCTTTCCACATCCAACAAAGGGGGATAATACTATCTTCCTCCAGGGGGTCGGACAGGTTGAAAATTAAATAAGATACACAAGATGCCTCACACTTTGTGCCTGGCACAAAATAGGAGGTTGGTAAATGGTAATGTGTCTGAAAACAGCAGGCTACGCCCATCCTCCTGCCACTGCTAGAGCCTGTTCCCTCCCAGCGAAGAGGCAAAATCCTTTCTCTTCCCTGGAGCTCCATTTATCTCATCTGTGAAGTCTGGCAGAAAGGTCAGAGCGTGCAGGGCTTGGAGGAAGAGGTTAGAGGCAGTGGTGGGTAAAGCAGAGCAAAGGAGAAGGCTCTCTGGAATCCAGCTCAGTCACCTGCTGGGAAACAGGCAGAACCACCCCAGCAAACCCTTGTTTGGGAAACCTTCCCACCCACCCAGGGTGTTTTACCATGCACCAAAGGATACTGGAAATACTTCACTGACACAGCTCACTCCTTCTGTGCTATTGGGGAATAAGCCTTAGCCTCTTTTCACAGACGGGAGAGGTGTGGAGTTTCGTGAACTCTTGCTCAAGTTCACACCCTGGCGGCAGAGCTTTAGGAAAACCCGGTGCTCTTACTTTTTATCCTCTCCACTGTCGCAGAGAGTGGGGCCATAACCACCCAAGAAACTCTAATCAATCCTATCAGCTCTGAGAAACCGGTTTTGGGGCCTGGAGTGGAGACCAGATCTGGTGCAAACTCAGATCTCGCAGCTGGGAAAGGCGCGAGCCCAAGGCCCGGCTCTCCTGGCTTCCCCACCCATCACCTGCATCCTCACCAGGTGCTTTGACTTTCTCATCCTCCCAACCACTCTATAAAGGCAGGTACGCTCCCCATTTTTCGGACAGGCAACTGAAACTCAGAATGGCTGAGTAATTGCTCAAAGTCACACAGCTGCCGCCTTGCTAATCCGAGGTCGGCCCGACCCCAAAGCCCTTGGTTGGCTGTTTTCACTCAGCCTAATATTTGTCCTCCGCAAGACGGAGCACCAGTAAAACACACAGCAGGCGCACGCTAATTGCCCGTTCCCGTCTCAGGGCGAGGGCCCCTTCCAACGCCCTCTGGGCCTCAGTTTCCCTGGCTGCAAAACGAGCCAGAGATGCCAGCGCAGGCCCCGAGCTGCTGTCGGTCGGCCCGGGCGTCCGGGTGTCCGTGCGTCCGTGCCCCCTCCCCCGGGCTCACCGTCGGCGGGCTGCTGGAAGTTGACGTAGGCGTAGCCCAGCGAGCGGCGGGTGGCCACGTCGCGGCACACGCGGATGGACAGGATGGGGCCGGCGGGCGAGAACTTCTCGTACAGCATGGCCTCGGTCACGTCGGGGTGCAGGTCGCCCACGTAGAGCGAGGCGAGCGGGTAGCCCGGGCCGCTGGCGTTCATGGTGCTCGCCGAGCCGCGGCGGGGCTCTCGTCCCGAGCGGCCGCCCCTCCCTTTAGCCCCCGCCCCGCCCCGCGCCCCACCTGGGACCCCTCAGCGCTCCAGGAGGCCCAGGTGGGGCCTCTGGGACCCCGCCTCCGGAGGCGGGGCGCGCCCTCAACCCCGCCGCGGGTCGGGCTGCGGGGACGCGGGTCAGGGACGGCCCGAGACTTGTTCCAGTCCCGAAGGTCATTGCCTTCTGGGCCTCTGGGTCCATTTCCCTTCGCAGTGAAACCGGGACGGCGCAGAGGGGAGCCGGTGCCTTCTGGGCGTCTCACAGACGAGGAGAATCCTGAGCCCGACACCCAGTTTCAAAGCTTGTGCCCCTTGCCTCCTGAAAGGAGTCTTTTTCTCAAGATAGCCCAAATCCAGTACCCGCTCTGGAACCGGCCTTATGACCTGGGACTGCCTGCTCCACTTGAGAATTCGAGACCAAGGCCTTCCTTGACACTGACTCTCCTATCACCAAGGGATATTCCTGGCCCACTTTTTTTTTTTGAGAGAGAGAGATGGGGAGGTGCAGAGGAGTGAGAATCCTAAGCAGGCTCCACGCGCAGTGTGGAGCCCGACACAGGGCTGTGTCCCACAACCCTGAGATCATGACCTGAGAGGACATCAGAGTCGGATTCCCAACCCACTGAGCCACCCAGGCGACCCCCACCCCACCCCAACTTTCTTTTGACTAAGCCATTCCACCTGCATTCCATCAGGAAGCTTCAGTTACTGTATGGGGACAGAAGGGACCTCACAGCACAAGGCGGTGGCAGTAGCCCCAAGGTGCGCTTGCAGCCTCAACCTACCGGTGGTGTGGAGGCACCTAGAAGAAAAGTTGCAATGCGCTGTGGGCCAGTCGTACTTCCCAGTATCTCCCCTTGCCCCTCACAGGGACTCCCCCGGTTCCCTACTGCAACGAAGCGGGCAGGCTCCCACTGACCTTGCTTGAGTGTGGTTTCCACAGGCGGAAGAGCTCTGAACTAGTCTGGTTGCTCAGCTTCCATGCAGTAGCAAGCAAGCGCCACTTATTCTAATCTTGGGCTGAAAAATAACCCTCATTTCTTCCCTCTCCTTATGGGAGTGTGGAAGTTTTCAGAAAGGGGACAAATGCCATGAGGAAACAGTGCTGCGGGCTCCCAGAAAGTGTTAGGACAGAGGACAGTCTGGTAGAAGCCTGCGGATGCCCAAGCCTTAGGCAAGCATCTCTAACAGGCTTGGTTACACCTCAGGGTCAAAAAAGGGTGTGCGTGCGTGAGCGCGCATCTTGATGGGATGCAAAGTAACTGTTCGTAGCAAATCTTCGAAGCTACAAGAGGACCTAACACCTGGATGGTCTGTTGTGGAGGGTGGAGAAGCGTCCCCTAATAGGTGGAGAGTGGCTGCTTATTAATGGTAATTTCTTCCCCTTTACAACACCTTGACTTCTGGTTCTAAATAGGATGAAATAAAGATGTTCCCTACTTTTAAAGAAAGAGGAGAGCCACGAGTGAGTGTGACCAGAAGAGGTAGCTGGTCCTGGCAGTGACAGAGATGGCGCCATACATCCGTTCACAGGCAACTGATAAAATTTTTTATTTCACTTTTGAATTTTTACACTTTTCCTGATTATTCCGGGTTAAGGTGGGAACTAGAACTTTTAAAAGACATACACAAATCTAGTACATCAATAACCGGGGATTTTTCTTTTTCTTTTTTTTTGCTATACTATTTTCACAACCACAGGAGTGCTTGCTAGGCAATATGACCGTCACAGAAGCAAACGTGAGGCAGAATACTGGTAAGGAAAAACGGAAGCAAGATAGAGCTACCAGATATACAGACAGGCTCGTTCCACATTCACTACTGCATTTTCAAGCGCCAAGTATTAACTGCACATTTTTGTTCAGCTAGAAAGGGGGGAGGGATTTTTTTTCTTTTTTTTTTTTTGGTTTTAAATCAGTGCATGAATGTTTCTTTTCTCATTTCAGCAGATGGACAAACAGGTGGACACTACAGCTACGTGGAATGTTCAAGGGAGAGGGGGTACTGTGAGACTGGTAGGCCTGGCTATTCTGGACTCTCCCCACTGTGGTGTTCATGCAACTTCCCTGCATTATAGGGTCTTGTTCAAACAGGTCTGTGAACTTGGCTGGAGGAGCACACGTGGGAGATCTGGTGACAGGTACTAACAAGCGTCATCAGGGCTGGCTGCAACACAGGGAGAAATCATGGGTATTTAAAAACACTTCTTTGATTCAATCTTGGTCTGACTGAAGAGCAAAAAGCATGCCGAGAACCGGAGGAAGCCAGAGCTGTGTGCTGGAAGCTCTTCTCAACTCTCTGAAGCGAGGCCTGCTGACCAAAGTGCTCGCCATCTTTGCTCACCCCCTTCAGGCCCCCACCCTGCCCAAACAGTATTAAACAAAGAACAGAAGACAACGACAGAATTCAAAAAGAAAAAAATGTTAAGGAAAGAGGACAGAAACTTAAAGAGGGAAAAGAAAAACCAAAGTCAACAGTCAAAAAGGACAGTGGGAAGAATGTTTGATTTCAAAATTTAAAAGCCCCAAGCTAGGAAGCACCCAAAGACTGAGTACTTCTTAAGTGAAAGGCAGTCTCTGCAGAACATGACTCTTAAAGGTATCACCCAGGAAACAGATAAGGCCATTCATGAGATACACGGCTTTTTTCTTCTTCAGGTCCTGGTTACAAGGAAAACAGATTCCACTACTGGAGCACAAGTTGCAAATCAGTAAGATGGCTGTGGGAAAGGGGTGTCAGTCACGTGTTCTAGGAACACTGGACCTTTGCATGGTGTCAAAACCCAATTATCTGCCACAAAGAGTTTCCATTTCAGGCTTCGAGTTTACTCAGAGGAAGACACTGTGGACATCTGCAGTCACGAACTTTCGAGTGGCAACAGCCCAAACTGGCCAAGTGTCTGTAATCCCCAAAAAACAGGCAGAACTACTGTGAGTTGCTGTCACACTTGAATGTCACAGGACAGGTGTCTCACTCCACGTCCCAATATAATCTCTATAACTTTCTGTACAACTTTACAATGGAACTGTTATTTCAGTGACTAGTTTGATATCAGATTAAACTTTCCAAAAAGTTACACATAATTCAGGTCTAGTTTTTCTACCAGTAAGAGTTCTGCTAAGTTACAAAACCCCATAATCACAGTGTTCAGTTTAAAAAAAATTCAACACACAGTAATCCTATCAATGTTAATCAAAATCAAAATTTCAGAATGCCGTGGCATTTATGTGACCAATCTGAGTTTTAGATACAAACACCAGCTGTTTATCCCATGGACCATTTTGCTAGGCTGAGGCTGTGAAAAACTGAAAGTCGACGTACGACTCTTTTTTTTTTTTTTTTTTTATCGCACAAAGGGATATATGTGGAGGGTACAGAGTGACATTGAACAGATCACGAAGCACAACAGACATTAGTTCTCTCCCTCCCCAGCATCTCCTTCATCTCCCTGGTTTTCCGACGTCCACAGCTGCAAGAGAAAAACAGAGCTCTAATCAAAACAGGGCTCCTAAAATGCACTCAGGGAGGCAGGCCCAGTCTGGACCACCTTATCTCACTTAACTGCTTCCAATTCTTACTGTCTTACTGCAGGCCGCAAGAACTGCGAAGGCCAAAACTTCAGCAGTCATTTACAACCAATTTAGCAATTTAGTACATTTAACTCTACTTACAGGGTCCAAATCCCCTCAAGTTTTAGGCAATAGTGAATTCTTAGGTCGGTGATAGGAACAAGACTCTAAACCCTCCAGAAGCAGTGTTGTAAACCAGCAGTACTTACTGTGAGATTGTCCCTAAGCAACTGCATGATCAGGGTGCTGTCTTTGTAAGACTCTTCATTCAGTGTATCCAATTCAGCAATTGCTTCATCAAAGGCCTACAACAAAGAGCCTTTAGCTGACTGTCACAGGTTCTCTGGAGCTAGTTTAGCCCAATTTTTTTCTGTTAACAAATGAATATACTTTCTTTTCCTGTACAGTACTTTGGGGGAACTGAGGCTATTATTAATGACCTTGTTTGCTAGTTGTTTCAACAAACAGATAATGCATGTTTATAAAGCACCAACCAACAATGACAAAAAATTCCAGATAAGAACTTCACTATATGTGATAAGACAGCAGGTATTACTGTCAACCCAGCACAAATCCACATAATTTTTTAATTGCCAAAGATACTTCTGGTAATCCTTTTCTTTCTTTACTAAAACTCAAAAGGTCTGGATACAAGGAATAAAGGGAAAACGGAAGTTCACACCACTAAATCTGATTCAATTAAGTGACAGACCTTAGAGAATTCATTTCATGTACTTTTTCCAAAATAAAAAAAAATTTAAATAACACTGTGCATGTTGAAAGACTAAAAAATATGTAGAAAAGGCGACTGAATTACTAATAGAAGATAGGAGGTAACCCAGCACACACAATGAAAACCTGGTCTGAGTTCTTTCACACAGCTGTAACTTCAAATCTCGGTACAAGGACTACAATACGTTAACAGAGGCCTACAGAGCCCAAAGCTTGACAAGAAACAACACGCTACCTTCCCCCTGAATTTTCTACAACCACCCCCAAACCAGTAATTACACAACGAAAACAAAAATCAGCAGGAAGTGTTG